ACGCCAGGACATTCTGTGGGGACATGAAGATACCAGATCCAATCATGGTTCCAGAAACTATTGCTACTCCACCAATCAATCCAATTTCTCTTTTCAGTTGCAGCCCTTCGTTTTTTGGGGTTTTGTCCACCATGTTGAGAGAGAGCAGGGAGCACAAAACGACACGTCTACAGAGCAGACTGAGAAAGATCACAAAGAATTCAGATGCTACAAACTGCGTAGAAAAAACTTTCAGTGTTATCAAGGGATTGATAACAGGGCAGCTGTGGCTACAACTGTAGCTGCCTCCACCAGTGTATGAATGTGAGAGTGAATGAATAGTGGTATTGTAAAGCGCTTTGGGTGCCTTGAAAAGCGCTATATAAATCCAATCCATTATTATTAAAACCTAGTCGTTACCCTCATTTAAATATTAACTCTACCTTTTTTTTTTTGCTCTATAGCAAAAGTGCTAACCACTGAACCAAAGGGCCAACAGGCTTGGGTTATCATATCTAAAAGTAATATCAGTTTTCTTGTTACTTTGTCCAGTCCACTCATCACTCATAACAAGATAAATTATATACAATCCTGACTAAAAAGCCAAAGTCTTGGATCGATTTGTCTCCTTTTTTTGTATAATATTAAACACAAACAGTAAATGTTCAAATTCTGACTTTTTTGATGTCTTAAGAACATTTTACCTGTCATCCCTGAGGCTTCTAACGTTCTAAAAACAAAAGGTGAAGAGTTCCAGGTATTTAAACCACAGTTGTTGATCTACTATTAATCATGTGTGTCATCACATGAACCATATTGTTAAAAAAAAGTACCAGTTTTTGAAGCTCTTAAGACTACCATGACGTAGATTACTGCAAACCCACGCAGACTTACTTCTGGATGTTTCACCTCCTCAGTTAAATAATTTAAAGTGTTCCAGCCATCATACGACCACAAGCCCTGATAGAAAGCAATGCCAATGGAGCTGATCCCTGCATTGGTTCCCTCAAATGAGTCCTCAAAGTTCTCAGTGCGGCCCTGGAAAAGCATCACAATGCCTCCCAGGATGATCACCACCAGGGCCACCACCTTCACTGCCATGGTGACCACCTGGATGCCTGTGGCCAAGCGGACGCTCAGACAGTTGATTATAGCCAGCACCAAGATTGATACAGCAGCCATTAACTTCACAGCCAGCTGTGGAGGAGTGCAGCCGCTGTAAAAGGGGGCCACAGCATATTCAGCAAAGATGAGAGCGACTCCTGTGCCACTAGCCGGCCTCATGACCATGATGAAGCTGAAGACGAACATGAAGGCCACCACTTTCCCTGCAGTCCGCAGTATGTAAATGTACTCAGCTCCAGACTCTGGTATGATAGTGCCCAGTTCAGCATAGCACAGACCCCCAGCATGGCTATCAGTCCACAGCAGGACCATATAATGAAGCTGGCCCCTGGGCTCCCAATAGTGGAAAGGACGTACTGGGGAGAAATGAAGATCCCAGATCCAATCATGGTTCCACCAATGAAGGAAACTGCTCCTATGAGCCCCACTTCCCTCTGCAGATTGAGTCCATGTGTGTCATGTCCCATGGTCAGAAAGCTTTTGTCTTCCTAGAAGCAGCGGACAAGAAGACCTGTAGCTGTAAAGTGTTGTCTTTTACATAAGAGGCGGCGCACACTTAATTATACAGCTACGAAAGTAAGGCGAGGCTATCATCAGCATGGCTGTTTAAAGTTCTTCTTTTCTCTTAGGTTTCACGTAAGCAGTAATTTATTTTAGGTTTTTTATAAAACACTGACAGGGAAGTAAAGCATTAAAAATATACATGTTTTAAATCATTTCAGTCTTGCTTTTCTACAGTAAAAGTCCCTGCAAACCGAATGCATTCTACTAGTGTCCTCAAAGTCAGAGAAAGACTGTCTTCAGTCCTCAATATAATGTTTTCTTGTGTCTGGACCTACATGAATAGTTTGGAGAGCTGTACTGGCAGCAGAAAAATACCTAATCTGAGAGAAGACATGAACATCTGCTTAACAATGTTAACAATGTTATCATAGAAAGGACATGGCCAAGTAAAGACACCAAGTTATTCTTTGCCTCACAGCTCAGTCTGTCCTCAGTGTACTTTCAGAACTGATAAAACCTGGTCAATAAAAAGCAGAGTGCACATTTAATGCAGTTACTCTGTGTTTTTTCTCTCATTACTCAACTACTTAAACATAAGCTTTTCAAAATAAAACAACTTATAAATAAAATACAGGTGGTCGGTATCACCATCTGTATATGAAGAAATGACTTCAATGTTCAGTTCTGAATTATAGGTGTTTAATTCACGTGTTTTACCTAGCTCCGCGTTATTAGGGCAGGGATAGCTCAGTAGGTAGCTTGGTGGCCCCATGATCGGAAGGTCGGGGGTTCAACTCCGCTGAACGGCTACCCTGAGGTACCCCTGAGCAAGGTACCGTCCCTACACACTGCTCCCCAGGCGCTGCATTGGTGGCTGCCCACTGCTTCACTGGGTGAATGGGTTAAATGCAGAGGAACTATTTCCCTATGGGGACTAACACATACACACATTAGTTATAGTTTCAAAAATATTTTAATAGTTACTATGTACTTTAGAAAAATATAAAAATTAACTAAATATTTTGGGGGTACAAAAATATATGTATATATACTAGAAATACCCATACATTTGTAATAAGACAGTAACATTAAATGGTAAAAATGGTAAATGGCCTGTATTTTTACAGCGCTTTACTTAGTCCCTAAGGACCCCAAAGCGCTTTACACTACATTCAGTCATTCTCTGAAGCAGCAGCGAAGAACAGACGTGCAGTTACAAAACGCTGCCTGTTGCCCAATAGGAGGAGTGCACAAAATTAAACTGCTATGAAATTAAAATGAGGCTACTTTTAAGCAGATTTTAAGAATGTCTGCTTGTCCAGAGTTGGTTTTTCTTAGATTTCACGTTAATGATGATTTATTTTAGGTTCTGCTCTATAAAACACAGTTGGAGAAACGAAAAATTCAAAATAGAGACTATTTTCAATATTTCCAGTCTACTGGAAATGTCCCTGCAAGCCAAGTTGATTCTTCTGGTGTCCTCAATTCTTTCTCTGGTGTTTGTTCGTTTTATGTATACTTGTGTCTGGATCTACGTGACCTACATGAAGATAAAAAACAAACAAAAAAACACTGAACTTCCAGTAAAAGATTAGACAGGGCCTCATCTGAGTGAAGAAAGTAACAGAGTATCTGCATAACAATGTTATCAGAGGAAGGACGTGACTTGACCTGGTTCTCCCTTGTGCCAGTTTAAGCAGTCCAACAGAATAACATAAAACTAAGTTGAATATTTACTTTCTTTAATACTTTGCTAAACCATTTAGTTGTATGGATGTAAGTCCCAAAAAATGAATTTTGGAGCTGAATCTGAATGATGGAAGTGAAACTGAAATTATTCGAGAGCTACACTTTTAAAGGATAAAATACAGTTTCAAAGTAAATGAATTCATTTTCAAAATATAAAATTCAATTTCAATTTAGTGACGATAATTTTCAAAACTGTACATTGAATTTCAAATTAGACTGATTCAAATTCAGTTTTAAAAAGCATTTATTCAAGTTACAATTCAGGTTCAGTTTCTGATGGCACAAAGTTCTGCCCATACTCTTCTTTTAATTAAATTGGACTCCAGTATGATATAATAGAAAAGAACACCAAGCACCAAGCTGCAAAAAGCAGTCAGTGGAAATGGGTTAATTATTATGAACCGGCGTGAACAAAAAGGGACGATCACACTGAAGTTTCAGTCATTTAAGATAAGGATAAATTAAGTTTGTCATAAGTTGAGAAATTCTTTAAAAATATTAAATTCCTATTTAAACAGTAATATTATTATATAAAATGCTGTAAGGAGCTGCAACTAAAAACAAAGTATATGTTCTGGAAAAGCTGGAGATACAGAAAAATGTTGGTCAAAATGCTTCTTGTTGTCAAAATATATTCTGATACTTGATCCTCATATATTATATTCACCAAACATCTTTATATACAGTCTTTGAGATCTAGGAGTCACACCTCATTGGAGTTAGGACTGAAATGATAGCAAAGCAAACATACTCTACTCTCGTGTACATTTATTATCGCCATACAACACCTCAGACACTTTGATCACTGATTTACAGAGTGTTATATACATCCTGTGTTAGGACAAAGTCAATAAATTACCTGAGGTACAAATTCAGAGTTAAGGAAGAAAATATAGCAGCATATAGGCATCTTTTGCACTAATGCATCAAATCATTCTTGACAGGTTTTAAGCTGTATTTAAAAAAAAATTAGCATGAATAAATGCTACTATTTCAGGTCATTTCTGACCCTTTCAGCCTCACCTCTGGTTTGTTCAGCTCCTCAGTCACATAGTTTAAGTTGTACCAGCCAGCGTAAGACCAGAGGCCTTGATAGAAAGCCATTCCCAGAGTGCCCACAGAATACTCTGTGCCTTGAAAAGCATTCTCAACATTAAAATTTTCCTCGATCACAGTGCTGCTCTGTATGACTTTCACTAGCCCTCCAATTACAATGAAAGTGAGTGAAAACACTTTGGCCACCAAGAAGATCACCTGCACTCTCAGAGCAAATCGGACATTCAGGATGTTGGTAATGGCAACTACCAGAATACTAAAAGCTGCAAAGTATTTCACAGCCAGCTGAGGAGGTGGGCAGCCTGGGTAAAAGGGAGCCATGGCATACTGTGCAATGGTCATTGATTTTGCTGCAATGCTGGAAGGTTTCAAAAGCAGGATGAAAGTGATTGCCGCAAAGAAGGCTGGGAATGAACCATAGATCCTCAGGATGTAAGTAAATTCCCCACCGGATTCAGGAATAATGGTCCCAAGCTCAGTGTAGGAGAGAGCTGCAAGCAAAGCCACAACACCTGAAAAAAACCAGATTAACATGCTGGCCCCAGGACTTCCCACATACGCCAGGACATTCTGTGGGGACATGAAGATACCAGATCCAATCATGGTTCCAGAAACTATTGCTACTCCACCAATCAATCCAATTTCTCTTTTCAGTTGCAGCCCTTCGTTTTTTGGGGTTTTGTCCACCATGTTGAGAGAGAGCAGGGAGCACAAAACGACACGTCTACAGAGCAGACTGAGAAAGATCACAAAGAATTCAGATGCTACAAACTGCGTAGAAAAAACTTTCAGTGTTATCAAGGGATTGATAACAGGGCAGCTGTGGCTACAACTGTAGCTGCCTCCACCAGTGTATGAATGTGAGAGTGAATGAATAGTGGTATTGTAAAGCGCTTTGGGTGCCTTGAAAAGCGCTATATAAATCCAATCCATTATTATTAAAACCTAGTCGTTACCCTCATTTAAATATTAACTCTACCTTTTTTTTTTTTTGCTCTATAGCAAAAGTGCTAACCACTGAACCAAAGGGCCAACAGGCTTGGGTTATCATATCTAAAAGTAATATCAGTTTTCTTGTTACTTTGTCCAGTCCACTCATCACTCATAACAAGATAAATTATATACAATCCTGACTAAAAAGCCAAAGTCTTGGATCAATTTGTCTCCTTTTTTTGTATAATATTAAACACAAACAGTAAATGTTCAAATTCTGACTTTTTTGATGTCTTAAGAACATTTTACCTGTCATCCCTGAGGCTTCTAACGTTCTAAAAACAAAAGGTGAAGAGTTCCAGGTATTTAAACCACAGTTGTTGATCTACTATTAATCATGTGTGTCATCACATGAACCATATTGTTAAAAAAAAGTACCAGTTTTTGAAGCTCTTAAGACTACCATGACTTAGATTACTGCAAACCCACGCAGACTTACTTCTGGATGTTTCACCTCCTCAGTTAAATAATTTAAAGTGTTCCAGCCATCATACGACCACAAGCCCTGATAGAAAGCAATGCCAATGGAGCTGATCCCTGCATTGGTTCCCTCAAATGAGTCCTCAAAGTTCTCAGTGCGGCCCTGGAAAAGCATCACAATGCCTCCCAGGATGATCACCACCAGGGCCACCACCTTCACTGCCATGGTGACCACCTGGATGCCTGTGGCCAAGCGGACGCTCAGACAGTTGATTATAGCCAGCACCAAGATTGATACAGCAGCCATTAACTTCACAGCCAGCTGTGGAGGAGTGCAGCCACTGTAAAAGGGGGCCACAGCATATTCAGCAAAGATGAGAGCGACTCCTGTGCCACTAGCCGGCCTCATGACCATGATGAAGCTGAAGACGAACATGAAGGCCACCACTTTCCCTGCAGTCCGCAGTATGTAAATGTACTCAGCTCCAGACTCTGGTATGATAGTGCCCAGTTCAGCATAGCACAGACCCCCCAGCATGGCTATCAGTCCACAGCAGGACCATATAATGAAGCTGGCCCCTGGGCTCCCAATAGTGGAAAGGACGTACTGGGGAAAAATGAAGATCCCAGATCCAATCATGGTTCCACCAATGAAGGAAACTGCTCCTATGAGCCCCACTTCCCTCTGCAGATTGAGTCCATGTGTGTCATGTCCCATGGTCAGAAGCTTTTGTCTTCTCTGAAGCAGCAGCGAAGAACAGACGTGCAGTTACAAAACGCTGCCTGTTGCCCAATAGGAGGAGTGCACAAAATTAAACTGCTATGAAATTAAAATGAGGCTACTTTTAAGCAGATTTTAAGAATGTCTGCTTGTCCAGAGTTGGTTTTTCTTAGATTTCACGTTAACGATGATTTATTTTAGGTTCTGCTCTATAAAACACAGTTGGAGAAACGAAAAATTCAAAATAGAGACTATTTTGAATATTTCCAGTCTACTGGAAATGTCCCTGCAAGCCAAGTTGATTCTTCTGGTGTCCTCAATTCTTTCTCTGGTGTTTGTTCGTTTTATGTATACTTGTGTCTGGATCTACGTGACCTACATGAAGATAAAAAACAAACAAAAAAACACTGAACTTCCAGTAAAAGATTAGACAGGGCCTCATCTGAGTGAAGAAAGTAACAGAGTATCTGCATAACAATGTTATCAGAGGAAGGACGTGACTTGACCTGGTTCTCCCTTGTGCCAGTTTAAGCAGTCCAACAGAATAACATAAAACTAAGTTGAATATTTACTTTCTTTAATACTTTGCTAAACCATTTAGTTGTATGGATGTAAGTCCCAAAAAAATGAATTTTGGAGCTGAATCTGAATGATGGAAGTGAAACTGAAATTATTCGAGAGCTACACTTTTAAAGGATAAAATACAGTTTCAAAGTAAATGAATTCATTTTCAAAATATAAAATTCAATTTCAATTTAGTGACGATAATTTTCAAAACTGTACATTGAATTTCAAATTAGACTGATTCAAATTCAGTTTTAAAAAGCATTTATTCAAGTTACAATTCAGGTTCAGTTTCTGATGGCACAAAGTTCTGCCCATACTCTTCTTTTAATTAAATTGGACTCCAGTATGATACAATAGAAAAGAACACCAAGCACCAAGCTGCAAAAAGCAGTCAGTGGAAATGGGTTAATTATTATGAACCGGCGTGAACAAAAAGGGACGATCACACTGAAGTTTCAGTCATTTAAGATAAGGATAAATTAAGTTTGTCATAAGTTGAGAAATTCTTTAAAAATATTAAATTCCTATTTAAACAGTAATATTATGATATAAAATGCTGTAAGGAGCTGCAACTAAAAACAAAGTATATGTTCTGGAAAAGCTGGAGATACAGAAAAATGTTGGTCAAAATGCTTCTTGTTGTCAAAATATATTCTGATACTTGATCCTCATATATTATATTCACCAAACATCTTTATATACAGTCTTTGAGATCTAGGAGTCACACCTCATTGGAGTTAGGACTGAAATGATAGCAAAGCAAACATACTCTACTCTCGTGTACATTTATTATCGCCATACAACACCTCAGACACTTTGATCACTGATTTACAGAGTGTTATAGACATCCTGTGTTAGGACAAAGTCAATAAATTACCTGAGGTACAAATTCAGAGTTAAGGAAGAAAATATAGCAGCATATAGGCATCTTTTGCACTAATGCATCAAATCATTCTTGACAGGTTTTAAGCTGTATTTAAAAAAAATTAGCATGAATAAATGCTACTATTTCAGGTCATTTCTGACCCTTTCAGCCTCACCTCTGGTTTGTTCAGCTCCTCAGTCACATAGTTTAAGTTGTACCAGCCAGCGTAAGACCAGAGGCCTTGATAGAAAGCCATTCCCAGAGTGCCCACAGAATACTCTGTGCCTTGAAAAGCATTCTCAACATTAAAAATTTCCTCGATCACAGTGCTGCTCTGTATCACTTCCACTAGCCCTCCAATTACAATGAAAGTGAGTGAAAACACTTGGGCCACCAAGAAGATCACCTGCACTCTCAGAGCAAATCGGACATTCAGGATGTTGGTAATGGCAACTACCAGAATACTAAAAGCTGCAAAGCATTTCACAGCCAGCTGAGGAGGTGGGCAGCCTGGGTAAAAGGGAGCCATGACATACTGTGCAATGCCCATTGCCATTGCTGCAATGCCGAAAGGTTTTACAAGCAGGATGAAAGTGATTGCTGCAAAGAAGGCTGGGAATGAACCATAGATCCTCAGGATGTAAGTAAATTCCCCACCGGATTCAGGAATAATGGTCCCAAGCTCAGTGTAGGAGAGAGCTGCAAGCAAAGCCACAACACCTGAAAAAAACCAGATTAACATGCTGGCCCCAGGACTTCCCACATACGCCAGGACATACTGTGGGGACATGAAGATACCGGATCCAATCATGGTTCCAGAAACTATTGCTACTCCACCAATCAATCCAATTTCCCTCTTCAGTTGCAGGCCTTCGTTTTTTGGGGTTTTGTCCACCATGTTGAGAGAGAGCAGGGAGCACAAAACGACACGTCTACAGAGCAGACTGAGAAAGATCACAAAGAATTCAGATGCTACAAACTGCGTAGAAAAAACTTTCAGTGTTATCAAGGGATTGTAAAACCTAGTCGTTACCCTCATTTAAATATTAACTCTACCTTTTTTTTTTTTTGCTCTATAGCAAAAGTGCTAACCACTGAACCAAAGGGCCAACAGGCTTGGGTTATCATATCTAAAAGTAATATCAGTTTTCTTGTTACTTTGTCCAGTCCACTCATCACTCATAACAAGATAAATTATATACAATCCTGACTAAAAAGCCAAAGTCTTGGATCAATTTGTCTCCTTTTTTTGTATAATATTAAACACAAACAGTAAATGTTCAAATTCTGACTTTTTTGATGTCTTAAGAACATTTTACCTGTCATCCCTGAGGCTTCTAACGTTCTAAAAACAAAAGGTGAAGAGTTCCAGGTATTTAAACCACAGTTGTTGATCTACTATTAATCATGTGTGTCATCACATGAACCATATTGTTAAAAAAAAGTACCAGTTTTTGAAGCTCTTAAGACTACCATGACTTAGATTACTGCAAACCCACGCAGACTTACTTCTGGATGTTTCACCTCCTCAGTTAAATAATTTAAAGTATTCCAGCCATCATACGACCACAAGCCCTGATAGAAAGCAATGCCAATGGAGCTGATCCCTGCATTGGTTCCCTCAAATGAGTCCTCAAAGTTCTCAGTGCGGCCCTGGAAAAGCATCACAATGCCTCCCAGGATGATCACCACCAGGGCCACCACCTTCACTGCCATGGTGACCACCTGGATGCCTGTGGCCAAGCGGACGCTCAGACAGTTGATTATAGCCAGCACCAAGATTGATACAGCAGCCATTAACTTCACAGCCAGCTGTGGAGGAGTGCAGCCGCTGTAAAAGGGGGCCACAGCATATTCAGCAAAGATGAGAGCGACTCCTGTGCCACTAGCCGGCCTCATGACCATGATGAAGCTGAAGACGAACATGAAGGCCACCACTTTCCCTGCAGTCCGCAGTATGTAAATGTACTCAGCTCCAGACTCTGGTATGATAGTGCCCAGTTCAGCATAGCACAGACCCCCCAGCATGGCTATCAGTCCACAGCAGGACCATATAATGAAGCTGGCCCCTGGGCTCCCAATAGTGGAAAGGACATACTGGGGAGAAATGAAGATCCCAGATCCAATCATGGTTCCACCAATGAAGGAAACTGCTCCTATGAGCCCCACTTCCCTCTGCAGATTGAGTCCATGTGTGTCATGTCCCATGGTCAGAAAGCTTTTGTCTTCTCTGAAGCAGCAGCGAAGAACAGACGTGCAGTTACAAAACGCTGCCTGTTGCCCAATAGGAGGAGTACACAAAATTAAACTGCTATGAAATTAAAATGAGGCTACTTTTAAGCAGATTTTAAGAATGTCTGCTTGTCCAGAGTTGGTTTTTCTTAGATTTCACGTTAACGATGATTTATTTTAGGTTCTGCTCTATAAAACACAGTTGGAGAAACGAAAAATTCAAAATAGAGACTATTTTGAATATTTCCAGTCTACTGGAAATGTCCCTGCAAGCCAAGTTGATTCTTCTGGTGTCCTCAATTCTTTCTCTGGTGTTTGTTCGTTTTATGTATACTTGTGTCTGGATCTACGTGACCTACATGAAGATAAAAAACAAACAAAAAAACACTGAACTTCCAGTAAAAGATTAGACAGGGCCTCATCTGAGTGAAGAAAGTAACAGAGTATCTGCATAACAATGTTATCAGAGGAAGGACGTGACTTGACCTGGTTCTCCCTTGTGCCAGTTTAAGCAGTCCAACAGAATAACATAAAACTAAGTTGAATATTTACTTTCTTTAATACTTTGCTAAACCATTTAGTTGTATGGATGTAAGTCCCAAAAAAATGAATTTTGGAGCTGAATCTGAATGATGGAAGTGAAACTGAAATTATTCGAGAGCTACACTTTTAAAGGATAAAATACAGTTTCAAAGTAAATGAATTCATTTTCAAAATATAAAATTCAATTTCAATTTAGTGACGATAATTTTCAAAACTGTACATTGAATTTCAAATTAGACTGATTCAAATTCAGTTTTAAAAAGCATTTATTCAAGTTACAATTCAGGTTCAGTTTCTGATGGCACAAAGTTCTGCCCATACTCTTCTTTTAATTAAATTGGACTCCAGTATGATACAATAGAAAAGAACACCAAGCACCAAGCTGCAAAAAGCAGTCAGTGGAAATGGGTTAATTATTATGAACCGGCGTGAACAAAAAGGGACGATCACACTGAAGTTTCAGTCATTTAAGTTAAGGATAAATTAAGTTTGTCATAAGTTGAGAAATTCTTTAAAAATATTAAATTCCTATTTAAACAGTAATATTATTATATAAAATGCTGTAAGGAGCTGCAACTAAAAACAAAGTATATGTTCTGGAAAAGCTGGAGATACAGAAAAATGTTGGTCAAAATGCTTCTTGTTGTCAAAATATATTCTGATACTTGATCCTCATATATTATATTCACCAAACGTCTTTATATACAGTCTTTGAGATCTAGGAGTCACACCTCATTGGAGTTAGGACTGAAATGATAGCAAAGCAAACATACTCTACTCTCGTGTACATTTATTATCGCCATACAACACCTCAGACACTTTGATCACTGATTTACAGAGTGTTATATACATCCTGTGTTAGGACAAAGTCAATAAATTACCTGAGGTACAAATTCAGAGTTAAGGAAGAAAATATAGCAGCATATAGGCATCTTTTGCACTAATGCATCAAATCATTCTTGACAGGTTTTAAGCTGTATTTAAAAAAAAATTAGCATGAATAAATGCTACTATTTCAGGTCATTTCTGACCCTTTCAGCCTCACCTCTGGTTTGTTCAGCTCCTCAGTCACATAGTTTAAGTTGTACCAGCCAGCGTAAGACCAGAGGCCTTGAAGTAAAGCCTTTCCCAGAGTGTTCAAAGAAAACTGAGTTCCTTGAAAAGCATTCTCAATGTTAAAATTTTCCTCGATCACAGTGCTGCTCTGTATGACTTTCACTAGCCCTCCAATTACAATGAAAGTGAGTGAAAACACTTTGGCCACCAAGAAGATCACCTGCACTCTCAGAGCAAATCGGACATTCAGGATGTTGGTAATGGCAACTACCAGAATACTAAAAGCTGCAAAGCATTTCACAGCCAGCTGAGGAGGTGGGCAGCCTGGGTAAAAGGGAGCCATGACATACTGTGCAATGGTCATTGACATTGCTGCAATGCTGGAAGGTTTCAAAAGCAGGATGAAAGTGATTGCCGCAAAGAAGGCTGGGAATGAACCATAGATCCTCAGGATGTAAGTAAATTCCCCACCAGATTCAGGAATAATGGTCCCAAGCTCAGTGTAGGAGAGAGCTGCAAGCAAAGCCACAACACCTGAAAAAAACCAGATTAACATGCTGGCCCCAGGACTTCCCACATACGCCAGGACATACTGTGGGGACATGAAGATACCAGATCCAATCATGGTTCCAGAAACTATTGCTACTCCACCAATCAATCCAATTTCTCTTTTCAGTTGCAGCCCTTCGTTTTTTGGGGTTTTGTCCACCATGTTGAGAGAGAGCAGGGAGCACAAAACGACACGTCTACAGAGCAGACTGAGAAAGATCACAAAGAATTCAGATGCTACAAACTGCGTAGAAAAAACTTTCAGTGTTATCAAGGGATTGATAACAGGGCAGCTGTGGCTACAACTGTAGCTGCCTCCACCAGTGTATGAATGTGAGAGTGAATGAATAGTGGTATTGTAAAGCGCTTTGGGTGCCTTGAAAAGCGCTATATAAATCCAATCCATTATTATTAAAACCTAGTCGTTACCCTCATTTAAATATTAACTCTACCTTTTTTTTTTTTTGCTCTATAGCAAAAGTGCTAACCACTGAACCAAAGGGCCAACAGGCTTGGGTTATCATATCTAAAAGTAATATCAGTTTTCTTGTTACTTTGTCCAGTCCACTCATCACTCATAACAAGATAAATTATATACAATCCTGACTAAAAAGCCAAAGTCTTGGATCGATTTGTCTCCTTTTTTTGTATAATATTAAACACAAACAGTAAATGTTCAAATTCTGACTTTTTTGATGTCTTAAGAACATTTTACCTGTCATCCCTGAGGCTTCTAACGTTCTAAAAACAAAAGGTGAAGAGTTCCAGGTATTTAAACCACAGTTGTTGATCTACTATTAATCATGTGTGTCATCACATGAACCATATTGTTAAAAAAAAGTACCAGTTTTTGAAGCTCTTAAGACTACCATGACTTAGATTACTGCAAACCCACGCAGACTTACTTCTGGATGTTTCACCTCCTCAGTTAAATAATTTAAAGTGTTCCAGCCATCATACGACCACAAGCCCTGATAGAAAGCAATGCCAATGGAGCTGATCCCTGCATTGGTTCCCTCAAATGAGTCCTCAAAGTTCTCAGTGCGGCCCTGGAAAAGCATCACAATGCCTCCCAGGATGATCACCACCAGGGCCACCACCTTCACTGCCATGGTGACCACCTGGATGCCTGTGGCCAAGCGGACGCTCAGACAGTTGATTATAGCCAGCACCAAGATTGATACAGCAGCCATTAACTTCACAGCCAGCTGTGGAGGAGTGCAGCCGCTGTAAAAGGGGGCCACAGCATATTCAGCAAAGATGAGAGCGACTCCTGTGCCACTAGCCGGCCTCATGACCATGATGAAGCTGAAGACGAACATGAAGGCCACCACTTTCCCTGCAGTCCGCAGTATGTAAATGTACTCAGCTCCAGACTCTGGTATGATAGTGCCCAGTTCAGCATAGCACAGACCCCCCAGCATGGCTATCAGTCCACAGCAGGACCATATAATGAAGCTGGCCCCTGGGCTCCCAATAGTGGAAAGGACGTACTGGGGAGAAATGAAGATCCCAGATCCAATCATGGTTCCACCAATGAAGGAAACTGCTCCTATGAGCCCCACTTCCCTCTGCAGATTGAGTCCATGTGTGTCATGTCCCATGGTCAGAAAGCTTTTGTCTTCTCTGAAGCAGCAGCGAAGAACAGACGTGCAGTTACAAAACGCTGCCTGTTGCCCAATAGGAGGAGTGCACAAAATTAAACTGCTATGAAATTAAAATGAGGCTACTTTTAAGCAGATTTTAAGAATGTCTGCTTGTCCAGAGTTGGTTTTTCTTAGATTTCACGTTAACGATGATTTATTTTAGGTTCTGCTCTATAAAACACAGTTGGAGAAACGAAAAATTCAAAATAGAGACTATTTTGAATATTTCCAGTCTACTGGAAATGTCCCTGCAAGCCAAGTTGATTCTTCTGGTGTCCTCAATTCTTTCTCTGGTGTTTGTTCGTTTTATGTATACTTGTGTCTGGATCTACGTGACCTACATGAAGATAAAAAACAAACAAAAAAACACTGAACTTCCAGTAAAAGATTAGACAGGGCCTCATCTGAGTGAAGAAAGTAACAGATTATCTGCATAACAATGTTATCAGAGGAAGGACGTGACTTGACCTGGTTCTCCCTTGTGCCAGTTTAAGCAGTCCAACAGAATAACATAAAACTAAGTTGAATATTTACTAAGTTGAAGAAGACCTGTAGCTGTAAAGTGTTGTCTTTTACATAAGAGGCGGAGCACACTTAATTATACAGCTACGAAAGTAAGGCGAGGCTATCATCAGCATGGCTGTTTAAAGTTCTTCTTTTCTCTTAGGTTTCACGTAAGCAGTAATTTATTTTAGGTTTTTTATAAAACACTAACAGGGAAGTAAAGCATTAAAAATATACATGTTTTAAATCATTTCAGTCTTGCTTTTCTACAGTAAAAGTCCCTGCAAACCGAATGCATTCTACTAGTGTCCTCAAAGTCAGAGAAAGACTGTCTTCAGTCCTCAATATAATGTTTTCTTGTGTCTGGACCTACATGAATAGTTTGGAGAGCTGTACTGGCAGCAGAAAAATACCTAATCTGAGAGAAGACATGAACATCTGCTTAACAATGTTAACAATGTTATCATAGAAAGGACATGGCCAAGTAAAGACACCAAGTTATTCTTTGCCTCACAGCTCAGTCTGTCCTCAGTGTACTTTCAGAACTGATAAAACCTGGTCAATAAAAAGCAGAGTGCACATTTAATGCAGTTACTCTGTGTTTTTTCTCTCATTACTCAACTACTTAAACATAAGCTTTTCAAAATAAAACAACTTATAAATAAAATACAGGCGGTCGGTATCACCATCTGTATATGAAGAAATGACTTCAATGTTCAGTTCTGAATTATAGGTGTTTAATTCACGTGTTTTACCTAGCTCCGCGTTATTAGGGCAGGGATAGCTCAGTAGGTAGCTTGGTGGCCCCATGATCGGAAGGTCGGGGGTTCAACTCCGCTGAACGGCTACCCTGAGGTACCCCTGAGCAAGGTACCGTCCCTACACACTGCTCCCCAGGCGCTGCATTGGTGGCTGCCCACTGCTTCACTGGGTGAATGGGTTAAATGCAGAGGAACTATTTCCCTATGGGGACTAACACATACACACATTAGTTATAGTTTCAAAAATATTTTAATAGTTACTATGTACTTTAGAAAAATATAAAAATTAACTAAATATTTTGGGGGTACAAAAATATATGTATATATACTAGAAATACCCATACATTTGTAATAAGACAGTAACATTAAATGGTAAAAATGGTAAATGGCCTGTATTTTTACAGCGCTTTAATTAGTCCCTAAGGACCCCAAAGCGCTTTACACTACATTCAGTCATTCACACACACACATTCACACACTGGTGATGGCAAGCTACACTGTAGCTTAACAAAAATAAATGTATAACTATGCAATGAATGAATAAGTGAGAATCTTAAATAACCACTCCCACTCCAGAAACTAAAAAGCTAAAAATAAAAATACGAGAAAAATAAAACTGCTTAGCAATATGCTCTCATGAACAGCACGAGCAGTTCTGCATGACTTAGCACAATCCTAACTACCAGGTTATAGCGCTGTAAAGCCTGCAAAACCACAAACTCTCCAGTGCAAACTGTGGGTTGAGATGAGATTTTTGCATTATGAACCGTTTAAAGGCACTCAATTTCTTGCTGCGAGATGCCCCAACTAACACACAAAACACCAGATTTAAAGTTGCCGTTGCACTCAAAAATATTTATTTGGGGATTTTAATCCTGAGCCACATCTTATCAGGAAACCTGATAAATATAAATATTTGTCTACTCTGGGATAAACTAGTGTGGACCAATAGATTAGGAAAATGAGTAACTATTATTCTGTTATATTCTGAAAGGGAAAAGAGATTTTCTTTTTATAGGGGAGAAATAATTATTTGATCCCCTGCTGAATGTTTAGAAAGAAAAGAACAGCCTCTAATATTGTTAGAGCAAGATTCTTGTTCATTGTCTGATGTTGTGTTAAATGTCTTTTCTATTGCTTTTGCTTGACTTGCTGTTTGGCTAACTCTGACATATTTACATAAAGATGCACTGTCCCGTTTAAATAAATACATTAAAAATATAATAGAGCCGAATAAACTAAATAGATAAATGCAAACGGATCTAAGCCTGAACACAGGAGCACAGAGTGAATCTGGACTTCAGGAGAAAAACCCAATAATCATTTAATGGGCTCATGTTACCAAATAAATGAATCGATCATTCAACATCTGGGCTACATCCATCTTTGTCAGACATTAAATCATTAAATTATTCTCAAGGTCAACTTAATAATTTATTGAAAAGCTGACTCTTAAAGGTACCACGATTTAAAATGTGTCAGAAATGAGTAACAGCTTATAACCGTTTAAATACATAACAATGTGATACATGTACAATGTTCCTTAATAAGAGAAAAAAATATATAAAAGTGATCATATTCTTTTTCACTTGGTCTTTATTACTAAACAGAGATTAATTTGACCAACTCATTCAATCAACGCCTACTCCGACATCGTATTGCGTTTACAAACTTGGGCGTCTACGTCGCCTGCCCGCCTGTGTGATGAATACCTCATCTGCATTTTATGGCTAAAAGGAAAAAAAAAGTAGTTATACTCAAATAATGTTGTTTATTAAAATGGGTTTCAACAGAACAAGTTTTATGATAAGAAACTATTGATTTAAGTTTAGGGTCTTATTATGCTGCCGGAAGATTAGAAATAGGAAGAATATCAACAGAAAAAAAAACGTTTTTCTTTATGTGATGTTATAATGCACACTAGTAACAGATAATCTTTCTGTTAGATCTAAAATTAAACCGTTTATTTATTTATTACCTCTGTCGCTACTTCTGTGGCCTCAACATAAAAGTCTCAGTCGGTTATAGCTCAAAGTTCACGTTAAACATTTGTAAATTTCTCAGCAATAAAAATAAATTATTTTCTCCCTGCAGAGAACCCATTACTTATTTATTCGGGGTGATTGTGTTTTACAGTCAGGGCATGGGTCAGCCTCTGAAGGCCCTCCCACTTACCTCGGGACGTTTTAACTCTTCAGTCACTGAGTTCAGATTGTTCCAGCCGTCGTATGACCACAGCCCCTGGTAGAAAGCAATTCCTATTGAATTGACGCCAACATTTGTGTTCTCAAAGGAGTTTTCAAAATTCTCAGTGTGGCCTTTGATAAGCATCACCACACCTCCTATGATAATCCCTGCCAGAGCCAAGACTTTGACTACAGTAAAGAAAACTTGGATTGACATTGCAAAGCGAACTTTCATGCAGTTCACGGTGGCGAGCGTGATAATTGCCGCTGCGGCCACGCACTTCACCACCAGCACCGGAGGGGGGCAGTCTCCGTAGAAAGGAGTCACAACATAGGTAGCAAAACTCAGTCCTATGCCAGCAATGGCTGCAGGTCTCACAAAGAGCACAGAGCTAAAGATGAACATGAAGGCAAGCGCTGGACATGAAGTCCTCAGAATGTAGATGTACTCGCCCCCTGATTCTTTTATAACTGTGCCGAGCTCGGCGTAGCAGAAAGACGCCAGAATCGCCAGCAGGCCGCAAGACGCCCATATAACCAGGCTGGCACCGGGGCTCCCGATGGAGCTGATCACCGTCTGTGGGGTCATGAAGATCCCAGATCCGACCGCCGTCCCCACGATGAGGGACACGGCTCCCAGCATCCCCAGCTCCCGCTTTAGTTTGAGCTTCTGCGGCTTTTCTTCCGTCATCACTGCAGTTAAACAGCTGCCTACAACCTGACACCTTTAACAGCGGAGAAAACACTATAATAGCGTGACCAAAGTCACTATTGCATCAACACAAGGAGTTAATAATTATGTGGGCGGCTCATACAACCACCTGTTTTGCTTGGTATTCTCACACGTTTGCTGGGCTTCACTGATTGGCTGCTTCAGGGACGACAGGGATGCCCAGCACCTAAGCAGCCCTGAGTCAGAAATATGTAAATCAGACCGCAAAGACTTTCTTGTACTCCTCCATTGGCCTTGAGATGTTATGTTACCCGCTAATAACATATTATCCCAATAGAGCATATCACGATGAGACTGCAAAATAGGAGGTAGAGCCTTCCGCTTTCAGTGTCCTCTAGACAAGGGCTCGTTTCACAAACACACTCTAGATCAATTTTTAGGGTAAGACTAGACGTCATTTTGTGCATTTGTTATTCGAATGGAAGTTAGACTGTTTTACAAAAAGACCAATTCAAAGCCCTAAAATAGTCTCCTTACCCGCAGGACAGCTTAAGCCTTGGACTTATCAGCGCTTTGATCAGCTGCATTTAATAAAAAGAGGAGAAAAATGCTCATAATCTATGGTTCACCAGTATTTTTACACATTTCTGCATGCATTATCTTTTGTGTTGTCTCTTTAATGTATTGTTTCAATTAATAGTGGCCTCTATATACTCCTCCAGCTCTCTTTGGTTCCCTCATGCCCCAAACCTGATGTAATAGATTGTTACCCCTCCACTAGCCTTACTTTGCTGGGGTTTCTTGATGCTTAAAGACGGTTATTATCTCCCCACCTTTGCTTGTTTAGTAGTCATAAAACAAGAGCAAAATGGAATTAAATAAACAACCTGTAAAAATAGTGTTCACCTTCAATGACCTGTCTGAAATGGGGGTCTTCTCCTAGCTTTGAACCCTCAACATCAACATTTACATGTTGAGTTTGTGAGTTTTAGTCTCTCCACATTTATATCCATGACGATCATGGTGACATTAAGGTTTTAATCTACACTGTCCTTGTTTGAGTTTTATGAGGATTAATCTGAACTATAAATCATGCAAAGCTACTCTCGCAGGTTGTTTTGGCTTGAAATTCTCATAAGATTACTGCATTATCACCTCATGAAAACTATTATGCAATTATTTTGGCACTTCATGGCCGTGTTAGGTCACATTTTGCTATGCATGAACTTTAATCAAGTAAAAGATAAGGAAAGTTTTTAATAATAAACATCCAACTCTTCTTATCAGTGACAAGTTAATAATCTCTTTACAAATGAAAGGAATGTTGTTGCAGGAGACCATAAAACAAAGCCAATAAACATGTTTTCTGGTGCATTTGGAAACTTTCCTGATTATTAAGCATGGTAAACACCTATGCTCAATTTACTCCAGTGGTCCTTTTCATATTCATCCAGTGTCATCACACATTTTTGTCTTCCCCTCCCGTGACAAAGAGGTGAACAGCCTTGTTGGAGTTCAGCATCTGTCCTGCTCGCTGTGCTCCGGTGATGGCAGCCAGTTTGTGAGCGTCGTAGCGCGAGTAGAGTGCCGTGCAGGTCCAGCTGGCCTCCTCCCCCTGAGTTGCTGTTGCCAGCATGTTACACACCTCGCTATAGAAGTGTGGGAAGGAGGGCAATCCATAAAATATCAGGTTCTGGATCCCTTTGATTGTGTACCTAAAAGAAGCATGTCAGAGATCAGACTCTTTTAAACCAAGGACAACATGGTCCATCATCTTCTCACGTTTTTTCCAGCTAAAAACCCTGGCTTTATACTTGGAGGAGCTGACTGTCATCCAATCTGCAAGCTGGATTTCTGATGCTGATGCAAACCAAGCTATGGTAATACAAGGACCAAATTCCCTGCAATAATAGGCCAGTTCCCTTAAAGTCCACAAAACACATGTAGACTGGTTGGATAAACTTCAACACACATTTGAATGCCCTTGAGAAGATAAAGGCCTCGTCCAGTGATGAAAAAAAAGCAGTGAAACAGTTTTACCTAGAAAGATGCCAAACTGAGGGCAACCTGGGTTAGACTAGTAAGATTTAGTAATAAGATTCTATTAAAATGAATAGTCAGCAGCTTGGATACCCAAGTTGGTGCTGATCTTTCAAAGGTTTAAAAAACAAAAAACCCGACTAACTACAGACGAGCAATTGAAGTGTTGCTAAAGGCAACGGAAAGTGCATTAAAGTAGGCCAGGTGCATTATAAAAGCATGACTAAGACATTCATTAAAAAAAAAAGAAAAAAAAGCTTAGAGCCACCAGCAGTGCTTTAAGGGAGCTGACAGTTTCTTTTTATTGGCACATAAATTACGGTGTCATCTGCAATTAGTCCCATAGGGAAAAATAAAGAGAAGAGAATTGGCCCAAGAATTAAACCCATTGGACTCCACATGCAAGAGTGGCTGAGGAAGAAGTCTGTCACCAAAACGAGCCGAGAAGGTTCTCTGTGTTTAAACCACCCTCGATGCCTTAGTGTTCTACACGGGACAAGAAACTTGTGTGGTTCACAGCATCAGAAGCATCAGTAAGATTTAAAAGCACAATAATAGTGAAGTCATGCAATTCACAAAAACATGGATGATTTTCAGAACAGACTAGAAAACTTCCAAAATACTGTAAAAAGAACTGCCGTTTTAAAAGTACAGTTTTCTCTAAAACTTTAGGTATATATGGCAGTTTTTAAATAAGTCTAAAATTAGAGAAAACCAAAGCATTAGGATTTGTGTTTTCATCGGCAGGAGTACCACAGCTTATTAACATCAGTCTGAACGGCCTATTTATTTTAAACAGTGGTCTGAACGATTGGTCCAATAGTCTTCCAGAGCTCTTTAAAACGGATCAAGGGGAGCAAATTAATGGGACAAGACACTGGCTAAAGCCGAGTGATTATTCTCTTTAAGCGAGAGGATAGAACTGATATAAACTGTCCTTTATTATCTCCTACAGCAGAGGATGTACTAAACCAGTTTCTATAACAAGAAACGTTATAAGTACATGCATTGCTGATGCGATTTGACTTTTCAACAGCCTGTTTAACCCGCAGCTGAACTATCACGCTGAACGATTACACTATCACGCTGGTGTAATAAAATCTTATCAAGGTGTTACCTTGAGAGCATAGATTTATATAAGCTTCCTAAATTGAGATCGTGAGCTGTATTAATTGATCAAAGTGCATTCAAGGATTTAATGTAACTTAATTTGCTTAGTAATAACTGTTGGAGTAGCTGCAACCTTTAATTTAAATAATTTTCATTTCGGATCGGCTGGAATAAGCCATGAATGCAAGGCTCTTTTTTTTTTTTACGTTGCAGTAATTGTAAACAAGGAGGAAATTAGTTGGATAAATCTAGCAGAAAATGGCTTCATGTTTTCTTTTGAAATATTTAGGAGTTATTCCATGATTAGACATTTATGTGCTCTAAATTACAAAAAAAAAGAAAGAAAAGAAGCATCAAAGCAACAACAAGATGAAAACACCTGACAGTACTACAATTCTTCTTCTGACTGCTCCCCTAAGAGGTTACCACAGCAGATAATCTGGCTCCATTTCAGCCCAGCCCTCTGTTACACCAAACCTCTGCATGTCCTCCTTCACTTTATTCACAATTCTTCTCGAGGTCTTCCTCTTTGCCTCCTGCCTGGCTTCTCCATCCTTTGTCGAATATATCTCATATTCTTTCTCTTCACATTTCCAAACAAGCTCAGCATTGGCTCTCTAACGTTGTTTTCAAACTGAGCTGTCCCTCAGATTACTTATTTCCACTCTTGTCCAGGTCACTCCCAATGAAAATCCTACCATCTTCAGCTCAGCCTCCTGTCTTTTTGTCAGTACCACCACCTCACAAACCACACATCATAGCAGCTCTCACTACCATCTTGTAAAACTTCGCTTTCACTCTTTCTGCTATTCTTCTATCAGGTATTTAAAATCTGCCTGTTCACCTCTTCACCTGTTTCCCCCAGAACAGACTAGAAAACTTCCAAAATCTCCCCCTTATTCACACACACATTCTGTCCTGTCATCTGCAGAGACTCATGCTTGACCCCGTCTGTCAACCTGTTCATCGCCAATGCAAACAACAGGGGGCTCAGAGATGATCCCTGATGCAATCCCACCCCCACATTCATGCCCTGTACCAGGCTCACATACTTCTCTGCCACTTGTGACTTCATCATACAGTACCATAGTTTCTCTCTTGGCAACTTGTCATATGCAGCTATCAGGTGAGTGCAATAAAATGGATTACAAATATATATCAGTTATCTGGTGACGTTAACTCTAAAGATTAGTGCCTTTAAAGCCTTCACAGCCGACAGAAGCGATGGATATAAGTTCTCTTACAGTTGAATCTCTAAAGTTTAGTAAAGCCAAAAGAAAAGTGTTACAAGCTGAACAGGTAATAAGCGACCAATTGGTAAAAGCTGGTACAGTCTTGTTATTGAAACTCCCACAACAGGGATGTTTTTTTGGCTTTAGATTGTGACACTTTGAGTGGGTATAAAATTTATTTGGTTGCTGTTTGAAAAAAACAAACAAACAAATTAAAAATCCAAATCAGATCTTAAATGTCTTTTTAAGGCCCCGAAAAACATGCAGATTAAACAAAGCTACATTTTGACCACCCTTTGCACCCTGAGGGTCTTTAACTTAGGAAATTCCCACCATATTTAACATACCAAAGTTATTGTACAAAATAAATCAGATGACTCAGAGGTGGTCAGGTGGGTTTTTTTTCTTCAGATTTGTTTGATTTACTATGGAAAAGGCCCACATGACAGGGCATTACAAAGAACTGACCTCTTGTAGAAGTGAAAGCGCTCCGTAAAGAGCATGAACTGTTTCTCCCCCTTTTGGAAAAAGTGGCGTGCTCGGGACACCTCGGATTTGCTGGAGTACTCGCAGACGCTGGCAAAGTTCATCTCCTCTTTCTTCATGTAGTTACGCAGCCGAACGTAGTCGAAGTAAGACGGGATGTAGATCAGAGTGTGTGACATAACCGAATCCTTGTACTGCGGCAGCACTTTGTCTATAAAGAACTGAAACCTATACACAAAATCGGAGAAAACAACCAATCAGCTGCCAGGACCTATATCGTAGAATGCTGTGAGAGAGAAAAAAAGAGCACTAATGTCAGGAGACAGTTTAGGGTGAAGGTACACGCTGGACTTTACCGAGCATCGTGGTCGATGAAGCTGGCGGAGGAAAACATCTGGAAGACATGAGGCAGCTGGACCAAGACCTGGCAGATGGAACCAGTTTTTGGTATGTTCTTTATGACAATCTGAGCCAAAAAACACACAAAGAAAACAAAAGAATTAACACCTTAGTTAAAACCAAATCAATATGAACCTGCAGATATTTCCGAGCCTTGTTCTGAAAATGTTACACGATAAAGGGTGTACATCCACCACCTCTCTCTCTCAGCAATAGTAAAGTGTGAAGTGTGGCCTACCTGTCCGCGGTAGTTGGCGCAGTGCTTGGTGAGGATGTTGTTGATCTGTGGGTCCTGAATGGAGCTGAAAACCAGCGTCTGCCTGTAGTATCGGGCCCAGTTGTTCAGATTCCACATCCTCACTCTGGAAAAGTCGACACCGTGGGAGTCCAGCGGCTGCAGGTTCATGTGCTTCATCACATGCTGGTGACCATAACGGGGAAAAACAAAAGGAAGGAAATAATAACATTATGAGGAATTATGGAAGATAAAAGCTCAGAATTTTCCTGCTATTCATTTAAATCAGATCTGAAAAAATACATTTAGAGGAAAGATTTCCCTGATTTCGTCGTTTTTGCTTCTCCTATTAAAAACGATGTAATGTGGATTTTTAAATGTGCTACATAAATGAATGATTATTATTGTTATTACATCCAGAGTACTTTGTAAGTAGCATCTGCTAATAGCTGATCCAACATAGTTTTAATGGTACCAACTTGTTCAAATGTTAAATACTAAGGACAGTCACCATGTTTTTCAACCATTTCCGGAATTACTATGCTACTATGTGCCAGACACTAATAAACAGAAGTGAAGAACACATTAAAAGCATTAAAATGAAAATCAGGGCTTATATAAAGCTAAAATGTCATAACTTTATAACAGCTATACATACTGATTTAAAGTGAGGGTGCAGGGGAAGTTATGCTTAAGAACGGGTGAAAAGGTCTTAGTAAATACTAAATAACGTTGACGCCTATCCCTACATAAAGGCTTAAAAGAAAGCTTAACTCAGCTCATGAATTATTCTACAGGTTGGCATTCTCGTAATGGCTTTTGTTTCCTTTATAATCACTCAATTAGGTCTGTAAGCTTTTTGTTTCCATCAAATCTGTAAAAAAACATAATGAACTTCCTCCATTATCACACTGAAGTTTAATTATTACACTGCGCAGATAAGAAACAGGATAAAGCAAGATAATTTTCCAACTAAGATTAAAAAGTACATTTCATCACTCTGGATGGGATTTAAATTGCAGCAGTAATAATAATAATAATAATAACTCAAATGCACTTTGGACTTTGATTGTGATAAATGAGTAGAGCAGGTAGCAGTAAAAGCATGAGTGAAGTAAATCTGGTCAGAATGAGTCTTAAATGAAGCTTTCATCTCATGTTTGCATTTAAAATGCAAACATGTTTGTTGTTTATGCCCAAAATTGCTTCCTAGACAGCAGAGGGCGCTACGTTCTTACCAGCACGTGCTCCCAGTTCTGCATGAGGAAGACGTCTGCCTGATCCACCACTAGCAGTTCGATAGAGGACAAGAAATCAAAGTCTCTCTTGCGTTCTCCTTCTGCTCCCAGCACAGTGCGAAGGCCCAGAGGAGACGTGATGATGATGTCGGATGAATAGAAGGGGGCATAGAGGCGCATGCTGCCCTTCAAAATGGAGACACCTGGAGAGGACAGAGCAGGAGAAGGTCAAAGAGACAAACTCGGGTTTTTAAAGAAGCTAGGGTTCTTTTTTCAGAGCGTACCTATCCTGAAGTGATCGTCCACGTTGCCTGTAAAGATAGCGTTATAGTCGTCTGGTCTCTGCAAATTGGGCGGCTTCTCATCCTCGTCCTCTCCAAATTCTTCCTTGAACTTCTTCTTGTTGCTCACCATCACTTTCTTGCCTTTAGTCTCCAGCAGGCTGATGAGCGTATGGACGACCTGCAGCGCGCTTCCCCGAAATGGAACGAGGATCAGGACCTGACAGATTCATCAGGGCGATGACAGCAGGTTAGCAGATACTCAGCAATACTGATATGTAAGTAAAAAGAACAAGAACAAAAAGAAGAATAAATGAACATTTCTGTGGATTACTTTTGGCCTGGTGAGTCCTTGGTCTCGGAGTTCATCCTGTGGCTCGGCTCCGGCTTTAGTCCGACTCTTCTGCTCTTTCAACTGTGAGTTATGAGCCAGGACCTGAGAATTAGCCTTCAGTACATGGTTAAGCACATGGAGGCAATATGCACTGCGCACATGTGGTCCCTGCTTGACAGGGCATGTCTCCGGGTAGTACAGATCTTTATAGGAGCCCATTAGGGCCAGCAACTCCAGCTGGAGAGGGCTGATCTCTTCGGCCTGCCCTTTATGATTGAACGTCTGGTTCAGATCCCTCCAGCGTGTCTCCACAAGTTTATGGAAAACTGGGAGGTTTGTGTCTGTCTGGGGGCCGATAGGGCCAAACTTCTCCAGGGGATTGGTGCAAAGCAGAGTTCCCAGCTTTGGCCACTAAGAAAGAGAAAGGCAAAGGCTGAAACTTTACGTTTTGTAATATGATAAGAGCGGCACTTCAATTTCAACTTTTATATTCCAATTCTTGGGAATATTTCTGGATATTTATATATTAGAGTTATTTGTATTAGAGCTATTCTTTAACGTATTATTTGTATTTTAATTTGTTTGTTAATGTTCTTATTGTCATGGAGCAACTGAGACCACACAACTTCCTCTGGGATTAATAAAGCATTTCTGATTCAGATTTTATGACCTATCATGCTTTTACTTCTTTTATGTGATATATACACGTATACAATAATGGATGCCAATATTAAACATTCCCAGAACATGTGCAAGTTGCTCCCGTGAGCCAGAACCTCAGTTTTAGGCTTCATATTTTACTTATGGCTCCGTGTGATGTCACTGAGCACAAATACGCTTAACACAATCACCTCAGGCACATGGCTTGGGACTAAAAGCACATAAAGTCCACCCCTCCTTGCTAATCAAACCCTATGTTTTAGAGGTGGAACCAATCTGAAGAAAGTTTGGGGGGGGGGCCTTAAAGGAGAAGGGGCTAACACGGTTTTTGTCAGGCAGAGGAATATAAAATGAGGGGCTGCACCAAGGATCAGCAACATAAAGCTACTCTACGACTAAAAAAATGCAGCTGTCGATGAGCATTAGAAGTCTCCTTTAATGAAGATGTATTTAATGAGACTGGTGTACCGTAATCTGAGTCTTTGATTTGCAGCCCGATGTTATCTTCTGCATGTCCTCTTCGTCAAGCTCTGTGTCCAAATGCTGGACAAACATGTCTGTAAACAAAGAGCAAAACTATAAGACACACCATACTCGTATCTAGAGCTGATAAAACAAATGTACAAGAAAACATTTAAAAATCTGTTTTTTAAGATACTAAATAATTCTGCTAAAGAATTCAGGAGATCTTTTTTTCCCCTCCAACCCTTTAAGTACCTTTACTATCTTCGTCCCGTGTTTCCTCCTGTTCTCCTTTTCCCGTGAAGTTGGTCTCCAGACAGAACTGGGACTCATGCTCTTTGTCTACAAACTCATCTCCCAGCTCCTTCCTGTCATCCTCCCCATCTCCTGCTTCCATCAAAGCTTCCTCTCCATCTGCAGGTTCTCCTTCTCCCTTTTCATCTTCATCACCACCCTCACTTCCCTCCTCAGCATCAATCTCATCTGAGATGGAAAAAACACAAACACATTCAGTGAAATCCAAAGTGGTTGTTGAAATAAAGAGCTCTGGAAACAAACAGCTCACCTTCACCAAGAAGCTCCTCCTCTTCTTCCTCCTCCTCCTCATCATCTGTGCTGTCCTCCTCTTCGCTCTGAGCTTCACCTCTTGGTTGGCTGAGAGTTGAAAGAAGTTTCTGATAGGCTGTTTTCTGCTCTGGTTCCTCCTCTTCTTCTTCTGGTTCCAGCTCATCGGCCTCTGACTCAGATTGTTCTGGACTTGACGGCTAAAAATTAAAAAAGGTAGCTCATGAATCCATTTATTATCGCTGTGTTGATGCTGTTCACGATTATTGCTGTTCACTGAATGTGGCATCATCGCTTTGTGTATAATAGTGAATACTGAACCTAAATCTAACCTCAAAACTGGATCAAATGTGATGGTTTATGCAAGGATGGGGTGTCATAGATATTAAAAAAAGTATATTACAGATTAATTATTTTAAAAGTAACTATTTATTTACTCACTTTACTGTCTGAAGAAGGTAATTTGATACACGACATTACTTGTTCATTACTTCAGATGACCTGAGATGCTTGGAATGACAAATTAACAATGTAAACCTTAGGCTAAAGCAGCCACTCCCCAAGTCAAGAGTGTGCAGCCCACTTACTCTTGTTAAGAATGCAACAGAAATATTGTATTTCATTAAAACATGTACTCAGAACCCATAAACCACACAGGCTTTAGGTTATACAGTCATATGCGAACACTAACGCAAGTGACCCACCTGCCACTGGGACACAAACTAACTTACTTATTAAATTTAGCCTTAGGTCACAGTAATGTCACAAACTACCACCTCATACTACCAGTTTTGTTTCCCTTTTTATATAAATAAATACATTTATACAAGTCTGTAACTGAACATACTAGTAAGTAATTTCAAACTGAATTTCTGTTATTACTCTGGCCCACCTACAGTTCCTTAGGCAGCCCACCAGGGGGGCCCTAGCCCACCCTTTGGGGATCAGTACTAAAAAGCTTTGATTTTGTTCCGTGGTCTTTCCTGTTACACTTCTTTGAAGACCACCACCTGGAGCGCATGCATAGCTGATCACAAAAAACAGGCAGGCATGCAGCCATCCGCACGGACCCTCGGGCTTGCCGTGTTACGATAAAACTTAAATCAGTCTAACCTGAGAGTACTCATCAATGTGGAAAGTATAATCAAGGCTTTTTTGGAAGACACTCACACAAGACATTAAGTTTTAAAACAAGTCTGACAGCAGCGTTGGTAAAAACGAGCCCAAACTGATAAAATAAGACATTTTTAAATTTCATGTATTAGAGGAGCCAAAACAATAAATACCACCTATTATTACATACTTTAAGTAAAGCATTACAGTGCAATACAATGTAAAAAAGGAAAAACAAAGGCACAAAATGAAACAGAATTTTTTTTCCAAACTGTATTTATAGAATCATATACAGGAAGTCAGGGAGGAAAAGTAGACTTTGACAAGCCACACACTTTTTACAGCACTAAACTGTTTAGGACTTTCTACTCACCAGTTCCATTACTTGAGTTTTTTCAGGTCTTTCATTAACTCTGTAAAAAAAAAAAAAAAGACAGAGAGAAAAAGAGAGAGAAAATTAAATGAAGCTGCTCAGAAAACATATTTGTAAAAATATTGAAATTATTAGGACAAAGTAAAGCTTTGTACTAGTTTTACAACAATGATTAATAATCTGCCACTTATTGTAACCAGTAAGTGCAGTTTATTATTTATATATATATATATATATATATATATATATATATATATATATATATAATAACGCATTGTTCTTTTGGCCTGCACCGCTGCATATGTAGATCAGAGATGGCACCAGAGCTGACCCACCAAAGGATAGAATTCAACCCACTGGATGGCTTTCAGAATTACATGTAAAAACAGCAGTCTGACAGCTCCCACAAGATGTGAGCTCCTCCTGCCGTTCGCATGGAGTCTTATTCACAGTTTAGGCAGAAAATAAACGAGGTCATCATTTAGAGCTTTAGCGGTGCTCCACCAGTTTCTAATCACACAGAGGAGCAGATAGCAGTGCTGTACCGGTGCCGATCCCTTTCTGCGGCTCTGTCCAGCTCTCCTTGTGTAACAGTCCATCTCCTGAGCTACCAGTAGAAAAAAGTACCACCAAATGCAAACCTATAGAACGATCAGCCAGGAGGTATTAGAAGCGACGTTGTGTTGTTGTTGCCTCTCCGGCGTACCTGCGTCACTTTCCCCAGGGTAGAAGAAACGGTTCTTACTGAAGTTAAAGTGTTAAAGTGTCCCCTTAAAATGCGCCATTCTTCTTCTCTTGTTTCGGCTTTACTAGGGGCTTAACTCACTGATAGTTTCTAATATTAAAAATCCATGTCATCAGGTAAACATCAGCACATTGCCCTCCTTAGAAAAAGTAAATTTAAGATGTTTGCTACATTTCTGTTTGTACTTTACACCGAGATAATACGGGAAAAACTACAGTTACATTTAAAAAATGGAATGAAAAACTAGAAATTAGCAGCCTTGCTAATATAAAGCAGCTTCTTCCTTTAAACCAGACCGGAAGTTGCTGTCGTTCTGCTTACACATCGTGAAAAGGATGTTCCTCTCCAAACTCCTTCAAGTGCTTCTTCTGTTTTTTGGATAAAGTAGTTAGAAACTGCTTATTTTGTTTTCTTTTGCCCATGTTGACACTCTGGTGCAGGAACACGTGTGAGGTCTGCTTCTTCCTCCTCTTGCTGTGCGCCAGCAGCGGGCGCTTCCTGCCATCTACAGGAGCGGGGTGGAATTACAGGCCGGGGACTTTATGATCCGTATATTTTATTTGGCCACGAATTTGCCCGATCCCTGCATTAGGATCAGCATTAGGAAATGCACTCGCTAATGAGTTGCATGAGAAGAATGGAGAAGAACTTAACTAGTACATATTTTCCTTTGATCCTAGCAACACTTAAATGACTGGAAAGTTGTTTAGTACAATACAAAAAAAGCAAAACAAAAAACAAAACCCTCACAAACACCTGATTGATGAAAAACAAGGTTAGGTATAAAAACAACCTGCCAGAGAGGCTTTCAGAGGCAAAGATGAGAATTTTGTTACCATTGATAGTTTAAAGACAAGCAGCTACATTCTCAGAAAAAAATAAAAATAAAACTGCAGTTCCTGCTGTGGCCACTTGAGGCTGGCTCGAAAAGTCGATGAATCGCCACAGATTCTAATTCTAAAATAATCAACTTTGTAGTCGATATGAACATGATTACAGCCGAATAATAATAATAATAATAATAATAATAATAATAATAAAATAATCCTGGTCTCTGTGGATAGCTTCCCATCTTATTTAATAATAACATAACATAAAAAAAACTCACCATCTTCAAATCAAATCAGTTTATTTCTATAGCACATTTTAAAAGATTAGTGTAGATCAAAGTGCTTCACAATAATACCGCAATGCGGGCAGAAACAAGAAACAAATAGTACAATTTCAATTAAAATGTACAATTACATGGTGTAGTGCAGGCCAAGTGAAAGTCAAACTAATTTGCTTCAAAAGCTAAGTTGAACAGGTGGGCTTTTACAATTGAAACAATTGAATAGATTCCGATGTACGGATATCAACTAGGAGATTATTCCAGAGTCTAGATGCAGCAATAGCAAAGGCACGGTCACCTCTGGCTTTTAAACGAGACCTTGGTTGTATTAGGAGCAGTTGGCTGGAGGATCTTCGTGCTCTTTTTGGGTTATACAGGTCAAGGAGATCAGTTAAGTACCCACTAGCTAACTTGATGGTGGTAAGGCTTAAAGTTTTGCCTCTGGCTCTGTTCATTACTTTGTGTGACTTAACTGAACCTACTGTGTTTTACTCTGACAAATAAAATAGCCTGCTGCAAAGTGCAGAGGTTGCAAAAAGTTGGAAATAAAACTAGGACAAGACACAAAGGAAAAGTCAACCTTCAAAATAAAACACGAAGTAACTAAAAGGCAAACAACACTGAAACTGAAAACAAAGAAACACAACAAAACAAGCTATCACAACAAGAACCAAAATACAAAGCAATAACCTTCCACACTGACTGAAAGGACACACAGTGTATTTATGAGCATGTCATGATTTGTCATGACTCCCACTGCTGACTTGTATCAGTGGAAGCGTGAGTTACAACACAGTGGTCCTTTTCCAGGTGTAGGGAGAGAGATGAGACAGGGGTTAATCCTAGTGGTCCAGATTTTTCCAAGAAAATATTTATGAGATGAATTGAAAGAGTGAGCTTACTGAGGTTCCAGCGGAGAGGCTCTCTGGAGAACCACCATCCGTCATGCCATTTGTTCTTTCTTCATCTTGATCATGTCTACATGCCTAAATGCACTGAGCTGCTGCCATGTGATTAGCTGATTGGATATTTGTGAGCAGTTGAACAGATGCATATAATAAAGTGGCCAACACAGAAAAGAACAATCTGCCTACTTTGGTTTTCGAGTCTGCGCTCTCGTGATAACCTCGGGGTCAGACAAACAAAACGGGGGCCACAGAAAAGGTCACCGGAGGTTGTCTGGTGTTTCCTGGGTAATTCATCCTTGTTGCTGGCCCAGTCGACCATAAAGGATCACACACTTCTGTAGCTGTTTGAAAACTAACCTTGATTAATTATTGAACATGGTAATATCAGTTTACTGTTTACCTGTTTTAGCGGTTACCATGGCAGAAGCTCATTAATTATTAACCATCTGGGTGTCTAGTTTTTGTACTCAGCTCATTTTGACACATCAATGAGGATATTATTGTTTGATAATTGCGCAGCACTGAGAGAGCGCGTCTGGCTTTTCTGAATGGGATGTAAAACATGTGAGACATTCTTGTATTTCAATGGAGAGGCCAAAACTGAAACAGGAGAACGAGAAGGCTGGGAAAACAGTCAGGTTTAGAGTAGCGTCTGCCAACAGTGGCCGGGTCTTGGCGGAGGTGTTCAAGGATGAGAGAGCCTGGTGCGGCTTGGTGGAGGACTCGGTGGAGGACTCGGTGGAGTCTGACTCGACCAGCAGCCCAGAGGCAGAGCAGCAGGGCGGCTCTCTCCCCACCAGCGAGGCCAACCGCCACCTGAACGGTTTGGTGGTGGAAGCAGCCGTGGACGAGAACGGCTGTGAACCCGATGACCTACTTTTGTACGCCAGTGCCAAGAGAGAGATGCTGTTTAGCAACAAGCGGATCAATATATGCAGCAAGAATGGGACCGTGAGAGGAGTGAGGAACAAAGTGAGCGCAGGCCAAGTGCTTTTCAACAACCTCTCCAACATGTACTCCGTAAGTAGCTGAGTGCATCATCAGAAACAATTTTAAATAAAGCTTTATCCTCTTTTATTAACATGTATGAAGTCAGACTGAAAGGTTATGGAATATATCTGATCATGAAGAGATTTCCATGCACTCATAACCCTTATTTACTTTTCCTTTTAGGGTTCCCTTCGTCACCAGAAAAGGAGACCCTGGGAAAAGTAGTGAACAGCGTGGGATTTCACACCGTGGGCACATCAGGGAGGAGCAGTCCTGAGGAAGCTTTGCCTCCACCCTGAATCCCTTTCAGTGACTTCTGTTTCTTCACGTGACGTGGAGTCATTCACGATCCCAGCCTCATATTTACATGTGCCTTCAGGATATTTTTGACCACAAATATTTTTGATTTGACTTCTTGTACTACTTTTCACAGCTGTTTATGGGCAACTAGGAAACTAAACTGGATAGAGTTAATATTTGTACAGACATTGAACACTACAAACGTTTATTTTATTGCAATTTGGAATTTATTGGTGTTTATTTCATTACAACTTGTTGAAAGTAACAACCTGTCCACATATGATTCTATCAAACAAATCTTAAGTTTCAAAAGTTTTTTGGTTTACTGACAGAGAAAAAATGTTTTGTGTGAAGAAACAAAGAAGGATTGTCCAATTAAATGCGATTTTGTTCATACAATTTCATTTTAACTCCTTTTTGCATTGAAAATGGAAAAAGTGATTGTTGAGGATTAAAAGAAAGTTTTAGTAGCGATTGATGCTTTGTTTGAATCCACCCTGTGGCCTTTCTTTGCATGTTCTCCCCGAGTCTCTGTGGGTTATTGACTGTAGGCGTGATAGTGAGGATGGTTCTATGTCTCTGTGTTAGCCCTGCGGCAGACTGGCGACCTGTCCAGGGACCCCACATGCCTTCGAATCGAATATGAGCAGAATAAAATGGATGGATGAACAGCCCTTCAAAAATGTTCCACAATTTTCCGACATGTGCTTCATGTGTTTCAGTACAGATTTAAACCAAACAGCTGATAAACAATTTTACTCACTGCTCTGAGATTTAGAGAGTTTCTGAGAAGTAAATTGTATTTTTTAAATTGTGAGTTTATTTGTGCCCTAGAATCTGACACGATTTTGATATTTCATGGAGTCTTTCATGAATGAATAGGTCTTTTCTGTTTGTAAAAATTTTGCATTCATTTCTAGATTGAATGTGCTTCATATCATCTCTGAGACCAGATTCACACAAATACAGTGAACTGTAAATATAAAAGCCTTTATAATAATTGAATGCATTTTCATACTGCAGGTTTTATGCTTGACAGTTTCTGGAAACCCTTGTTAACTAGATTTATTTTGGACTTATCAAGATTTTTGAAAACATTTGACATAATATATCATTTGCAACATAACTGATGTTACTGGTGGAATTCATGTTTAAAATTAAACAGGCAAATCAGTAAAAATGTATCTTTTACCAACTCTTTGTACTTCACTGCTCAGCAGGAAAACTTCTAGAGTTTCCAGACACAAGGAAACATGACTGTCAAAAATAACACAGGAGGTAACTAAACACAAAGGAAATGTTAAGAAAATTAAGAGTCTAAAATAAGTAACCTAAAGCGGAATCCTAAATGAAATAAGCTGAAAGTTTCAACCAAAAAATAAATATTAAATAAAATAATTAACAAAAATCCACAAACTGAAGAAACCCAAAACTTCTTTGCGGCTTTGTGTTTTCGTGGGTTTTAGACTTTTGCTGATGTAACAGACTCTTTAATAAAGATGAAAACATGACTATAAATATCCAGAGGGCTGATTAGGGAATAGAAACAGAAGAGGAGGACATAAAACCCAAAAGAAGAGAGAAGAGGAAACTATCAATTAGAAAAAAGGAAATGACCAAACAAGGAGACATGAAACAAACATTCTAAATATTATTGAACTATTTCAGGAAGGAACATGGTAGGAAAACATCATACAGACCTACACAGGGAGAAGACAAAACAAGATTTGTTATAATTGTCACGGGTAATGGGAAAATACGGACTTAGGAGGAGCTCTGGATGCAAAGTACACAGTGCGTTTATTTACAGTGCCCAAAAACAGTTTCGAAACACAAAGTGAAGTGCAAAGTCCAACAGTGATCTTCTCCAAACTCCCAGTGGTGCGCAGGTGAGTTTCCAAAGTGATTATCCGAGTGTGTGTTCTCCTCCAATAGCTTAATCCCACGGGCTCCTTCTCTCCAACCTCCAGCTCTGCATCTCTTCCTCCTACAAACGAGCAAAAACAACAGGTGAGGAGGCTAGCCGGCTAAAGCTAAGCTGCAAGTCACAAAACACTCTTTACTACCGCGCTTCAAGTACAATCCAGCGTCGACTGCCATCTGGACACACAGTTAAATACCTCAGCCCACAACGAAGGATGATCAGTGACAGCTGGGTGGCAAATTAGGTGCAGGTGTGTCAGCCACTGGGTGGAGGAGGAGGAGAGAGAGAGAAACACACAAATACACACACAGGCAGGTCACCCCGGGAAGGACCGTCCGACCATGTCAATAATGGTGGAAAACAAAAACACAGAAATCTGAAATTCACAGGATCAAAACCAAAAAACCCAATATAACAAAACTGGAAAATCATAAAGTTAAAAACAGGAAACAAAGACTTGATGATGTCTTAAACTCACTAGCAGAATGATAATAAATTTAAAAAAAAGAGTTTTAAAAATAAGAATTCAAATGTATTAAGAATGAAAAACTCTCAAAGAACACAAAAGCCCAAGACCGTGACTAAAAACCCCGAATCCATGAATGCAAAAAAATAAAAAAAATAAAAAAATCCTCCACAACAGCACTGAAGTCAAAAGTCATGAATATGGAACAAAACCCTGGGACCATGACACCTTGACCAAGCGGATGAGCCGGCATATCGACAAGGAACCTTTAAGTGTCACCGGATTACTCAGTTAAAGCGAAAATCTCTGTTTTTCCTTCCCTGCATTGAAAATCAGCGGAGCTGCACATTTTAAGACTCGCTTATGGTCGGACTTTCCCTTTAAGTGATTTATGCAACAGCATCTCCCGGTACCTCAGTCTACCTCAGTCAGCACCATGGACAGCGACCCCGCCAGCTCTCCGGCCGCCTCCTGCGCACCCAGCGGGCCCCGAGGGGCAGGGCACGCTCCTTCAGTAACGACGACCAGCTAATATCTCCCATCATGTTACTGCGGCACTGACAGCTGAACCGTAGAAAGCAGGATGCGGGATTTCCCATAGAAACACCCTCGCGTATTGTTTTTCTTGTCTTAACCCGTTTCCCAGCAGCTGGAAGGTACAGATGCTCTTTTTTGGCCGATCACCGGCTCTAAATGCCTCTAAACGACAGCAGATGTGACGAGTCTCATTTGAGGGTCGCTGTGGAGCAAAGGTGGTGAAATCTCTCGCTCTTCCTCCTCCTTCACGCCCTGTCATCACTACCAGTAGCTGCCCAGCACCATGTCTTCTCCACCATCGGCTGCGACAGCGAGTGAAAGCAGCACCACCACCGTTTTCGAGGAGGACACCAGACAGGAGGTAGAATTTTCTGGCAATCCTTTTTTTTTTCTTTTTCTTTTTTCTTACTCTCTCTGTGTTGTTGATTTTTATTGTGTCCGCGCGCGTGCTGTGCAGGCTGTGACACGCTGCAGGTGGATGATCTGACAGGTGTCATCGGTGTAAACTTGGACACGGGAGTGCGTGAGGCAGTGGCGATTCACTCTGCTTATCCTCCTGCTTATTTAGTTTTCCACTTAAGTTTCAATTTTATTTATTAATTTGTTCATTTTATTTAAAACATGTTTTAAGTAATGTTTTCTCACAGCTTCTCGTTTTTATGAATTATTTTTGAGATATAGAAATAAATGAAATGAGAGAAAATGTAGATCAAAAAGGGTAAACATAAATACTTTTAATTTCCTATTTTGTTTTTTACAAAAAGAATTACAAAACAAATGACAGCATATTAATGTCTGTTCTCTTCAACCAAATTAATGTCTGCTTTTATGTATGTTAACTTTAAATCATAGTTTTATTACTCAAATTGAGCCATTTTTGTCCTCCATACCATGAAACTTGTCTTTACAGCAAGTACATATAGAAATACTTGTCATGTTCCTCATTTGAAACATGAAGTTTAGAGTTTTTTTTAACTTTGAATTCTTCATTATTAATCTCTGTTTTTTTTTCTTACATTGTAGGATTATTGTGTTTTACTGTAACACCTCTGTGGCCAATTTCATTCTTTTCTAGTTCGTGTTTAGAGTCATGTTTGAGTCTTTGCTTGTTCCAGACTTCCTCTTCATCCTCTTGTATATTTTTGCCAAGTCTATTCTTCTTGGCTTTTGTGCCTTGCTTTTTAGTTTTTCTTTACCTTTACTATTCACACAGGACCACGCTCAAGTTTGTTTTTTTGCTTAATTTTGATTGGCTTTAAAAAAAAATTATATCTCATTGTTTTCACTGCCTTAATGAATTGTAAACCTACAAGGATTTCTGTTTTTTCCCCCTGTATTTTCTGTGCTATATAAATAAAATCGCCTTTATTTTTCTTACCTCGTTATCTAGATTCTGTTAACATGTGCCCAGTTTCTGCCCAGCTGTGCTCACTCCCCCTGATTAGCCCTGATTAGTGTTTTTACCCTGTAAGATACCATTGCATTACTCTGGCCAGACTGTTGTTAAGTTTGTTTGAACTTTGGACTTTTGAAGTTTGCCTACCATGCCTGGAGTAAAAGTAGGTTTTACACCTGCCAGACTCATAATCCTGCATTTCAGTCCTAAACTCTGCAATGTTGTGCAGTCTGAATGAAAATACAAACTGTTCTCTAAAAAAGCAAACCTCTCCTTCCAAAGTTGCATAATGCAGGCTGGATTAGTATTTGCAAAATGCTGAATTTTGTCCACGGGACCTGAGGACTTGTACAATACACCATGAGATTGTGGATACTAAGAGTTTAGGTGGTTATAGGATTATAAATATGTCCTGATCAGTTTTTAAAATGTTTCTTCTTATGTGTGCTTTCACTCAACAGCAAAGACCGCTGAAGCAATCTCTAAGCAAGTCCTTATGTCGGGAGAGTTTCTGGAAATGCCTACTCCTGTCCGTTCTCATGTATGGCTGCATGGGAGCCATGGTTTGGTGTCACATCACCAAAGTGACTCGTTTCACCTTCGACAGTGCCTTAAAAGGAAAATCCAAGATGTACCATGACAGCCCCTGTTCTGATGGCTACATCTACATTCCCTTGGCCCTACTGGGCATCCTCTATTTAGTCTACCTGTTGGAGTGCTGGCACTGTCACGTGAAGAATGAGTTGCTGCACAAAATGGACGTGGAGGGCATCTATGAGCACATCAAGAAGATGCAGCAGGCTAAGCCCTGCATCTGGTGGAAGGCCTTCAGCTATCACTATGTGCGGCGAACTCGACAAGTCACGCGCTACCGCCGTTATACTTGCACCCAGGTTTACCATGAGCGCCTCGACTCCCACGTGGCAGAAGCAGAATTTGACTACAGCCACTGTGGTGTCAAAGATGTTTCCAAACAGCTGCTGGGCTTGGAGAAGTCTGTGCTTACAAAGATGCGCTTGACTAAGTGCTTCAGTTTTGCCAACGTGGAGTCCGAGAATTCTTATCTCACACAAAGGGCAAGGTTTTTCACCGACAACGAGGGCCTGGATGACTACATGGAAGCCAGAGAAGACATGAATCTAAAGAACAATGACCTGAAGGAGTATGTCTTGGTGCTCTGCAACCCAAAGCACCACCCTTGGTATCTGTCCCACTACGTCTTCTGGTTTGCCTCCTTCCTCACGTTCTCCTGGCCTCTCAGAGTCTTCACGGAGTATCGCACTGCATACGTCCACTATCGCGTTGAGAAGGTCTTCGGGCATGATTACCGACCTGTGTCGCCATGTGTTGATCGACGATACTGGTGTCGTATCCCTCGAGTTAAAAGCACTGATGTTACAGAACTGGAGTGGCACATTTGCTCCAACCAGCAGCTGCTTACCCAGAGGCTGACCTCATGGATCTGGCCCAGCGACCGTCCAACTTCAGCGAGATTCATCAGAACTGTGAGTGCTGCCACAGAGTCATCATCTGATCCTCAGTGTTCTTTAGAAGCCCCCTCAGCATCTGCACTTGTGCCAACATTCCTTTAAAGGATCCCAACATCGACTTTGTTGTAGTTTTGTCACCGTCAAGAATCCTTTTCTGTAATTTTATGTTTCTTTAGCCTTCAGGTGACCTGTGTGGAGTCATTTATGACCCCAGCCTTATATTTATATGTGCCTTTGTGATATTTTTGACCATAGAACTATTTCTTGCCAGGATTTTTTCCACCTTCTTCTTATTTTATCGTTATAGGCTTTGATTTTATTGTGGTTTGTGACTTGTTGGTAATAATGTCATATTTACGAGTCCAATTTTGACCATTATTATTTTTAGATATTTTAGTAATCTGGGAATTTTGAGTGTTTCTGCTAAAAGAATCATATAACACATTAACACGCAGATTGAGTTTGAGCCTGGGAGTAACAAAAGATGAAAAACAAACCTCCTGACTGTGATAACTTCACTGTAATTTGTCGGTGATCAAAGTATTATTGAGTCACCATTTCATAGTTTGGTGTTAAATGATACATAATCTGCTTAAAAGTATATTACATATACTTACATACATATTTTTCTAGTGTTATTGAAACAAAGAAAATTTGTTTTGTGAGAAAAATTATAGGATTGTCTAAATAAAGTGTCATTTTATTTGTGCAACTCCTCTTTGCAGTGAAAATAGTAATAGACGAGTTATTTGAGGGTTAAAATGAAGTCTATTTTACTAAAGACTGATGCTCAGTTACATTTATACAGTATCAAGTAAAGAAATAATGTACTGAAATGCTGTTAAATGTGCTGTTACATTTTAATAGCACATTTAGTCATTTAGTAACACCACAACCCTTCCAAATGACCCATAAGATTTTCCAACATCCTGCTGAACTGATGTTCTCCTTGTTTCAGTAAAGAGAAATTAGAACCAAACAGCTGAACAGGCAGCTTTAGATCATACATAACACAAACATTACTTTTGTTGTGAGTTGTAAGTTTAATTGTGACCCAGAATGTGATATAATTTTGATGTTTCATGTATCCCAATTATGTGAAAAATGTGCTTTTTGGTAATAATGCCAGCATTAAATGTGCTTCATATCATGTATGACACATGACTCGCACACAGGATGAGCTCTACTTACAAATATCTTTATTAGACTTAAAGAAATAAGAGTTTTCATGCAGTAGATTTGATGCTTGATGGTTTCTGGAAACTTTTGCTCCCGTGTTCACTACATTTCTTGAACGCTTATTGAGGTTCTTGAAAACATTTTACACATTGTATAACAGATGTAACATTAGTAATGTGACTGATGGTATTCATATTTAAATTTAAATATGTAAATCAATAATAAAAAGTATTTTATTTTTACCATTTCTCTTTGATGACTCCAGAATAGAACAAAGAAACAGAAGTGAAAATAAAAGTGGGGAAAACCACATCAAAAAGACATAAATTAGTTAAACAGAAAAAAGAAATGCCCAGTAAAGATAAATTTAATGAAGCTGAATATACAAAAGTTGAGAAAAGCTAGAAATGGAACTAATTTCTTTTCAAAGAATGTTTAATGTTTAGAGGGTCCTGGAAAAAAGTAGGTATACACTTATATACACTAGGTTATCTACAAAGAACAATGATTAAAAATGCACAGAATAATAGTGAAACATGACACAGAGGGAAACAATCACAAAGGAGGCAAAAGGCGGACACAACTACACACAGTAAAACAAGTAAAACAAGAAATAACCAAAGGAAAAATGAGACTGGACGAATAAACAGACACAGACACACTAAGGAAACAGAGGGTGTTTCAGTCTGTGTAATAAAATCTACCTCATAACCCAGAATTAGAAAACCAAGACAAGGACCCAAAACACAACATCAGAAAACATCAGGTTGAATGTAGAAGTTAGGAGCCAAATACAAACACAGAAAGCAGAATATTTGTTTAACAAAAAAAAAAATCACTAATCCAAGCCAATTATAGGTTAGAAAGAGGAGGGGAACAAGACACAGGTGAGGATAATCAGACAGAGAGACACAGGGGAAAACGGTCAAAGTATAACAGGAAATGAAATAATTAGATATGAAGCATGTTGGAACTGTAATTAGGTCAAGTTGACAACTTCAAATACTGGAGTTTAATATCCCCAAACAACACAAAAACTAAAACACATCAACAGAATAACCATAAAAACAAAGCAGGAACCCAACTCAATTCAATTTTATTTATACAGAGACAAATCACAACAGGAGTTGCCTCAAGGCACTTTATATTGCAATGTTGACCATACAATAATACAACAGCGAAAACCCCAACAATCACATGACTCCCTATGAGCAAGCGGATTGGTGACAGTGGTAAGGAAAAACCCCCGTCTAACAGGAAGAAACCTCCAGCAGGACTAGGCAGAGGGGCGGCCATCTGACCGGTTTGGGTGAGGGGAGGAAGACAGGATAAAAGACATGCAGTGGAAGAGAGCCAGAGATTAATAACAAGTATGATTCAATGCAGAGAGGTCTGTTAACACATAGTGAGTGAGAAAGGTGACTAAAGAAGAAGCACTCACTGCATCATGGGACTCCCCCAGCAGCCTACACCTATTGCAGCATAACTAAGGGAGGAGTCAAGGTCACCTGATCCAGCCCCAAAAATTAAAGTTTTAAGCCTTTGGAGATTGTGTCTGTCTCCTGAATCCAAACTGGAAGCTGGTTCCACAAAAGAGGGGCGTGAAAGCTTAAGGCTCTGCCTCCAATTCTACTTTTAAATACTTTAGGAACAACAAGCAAGCCTGCAGTTTGGAGGTCAAGGCAATGCAAACCAGGGCAAGTATCTTGTTAGAGGGCATATTACTAAGATTTTCAGGGCCAAGTACAATAACCTCAGTTTTAACTGAATTTATAAGCAGAAAATTAGTGGTCACCCAGGTCTTAGTGTCTTTAAGACATTCCTGCAGTTTAACAATTTGGGGTGTGTTACTTGGCTTCATGGACAGATAAAGTCGGGTGTCATCTGCATAGCAGTGCAAATGTATACTGTCTTCTAATGATACTGCCTAAGGGAAGCATGTTTATGTGAACATAATTATACATGCTTCCCTTAGGCAGTATCATCAACAAACAACAAATCAACAAACAGGAGAATCCAAAACTTCAATAAAATCAAAAGTCATTCATAGTAAGTAACCAGAGATCACAACGTCACAACAACACTACGAACAATTAAGCCGTCCAAAGAAAACCGTTGGTTAAGCCTAAAGAGTGACCAGATTACTTTGTTAAAGTAAAAATAACTTTATTTTTGCTCCATATGTTGATAATCAGTGAGGCGGCACATTTTAGGTCGGACTTTCCCTTTAAGTGATTTATGCAACAGCATCTCCTGGTACCTCAGTCTACCTCAGTCAGCACCATGGACAGCGACCCCGCCAGCTCTGCGGCCGCCTCCTGCGCACCCAGCGGACCCCGAGGGGCAGGGCACGCTCCTTCAGTAACGACGACCAGCTAATATCTCCCATCATGTTACTGCGGCACTGACAGCTGAACCGTAGACAGCAGGAGGTGGGAGTTCCTGTAGAAACACCCTCGCGTATCGATTTTCGTTTCTTAAGGAAGGTACAGATGCTCTTATTTTGTCTTTCACCGATCAGCCGGTCCCCGTCGGCTCAGCTCTAAATGCCTCTAAATGACAGCAGATGTGACGAGTCTCATTTGAGGGTCGCTGTGGAGTAAAGGCGGTGAAATCTCTCGCTCTTCCTCCTCCTCCACGCCCTGTCATCACTACCAGTAGCTGCCCAGCACCATGTCTCCTCCAGCATCGGCTGCGACAGCGAGTGAAAGCAGCACCACCACCGTTTTCGAGGAGGACACCAGAGAGGAGGTAGAATTTTCTGGCAATCCTTTTTTTTTGGCACAGTAAATGCCTTTTGTTACGGTCTGTTTGTCAGAGCTTGTCGCGGAGCTTTAATTTGTCCATGTGCGTGCTGTGCAGGCTGTGACACACTGCAGGTGGATAATCTGACGGGAATTTGGTGTTACAGATATGCCACTGTTCCACAGTCTGATATAGAAAGGAATTCAATAATCTTGTAGCATGCATTGATTGTTTTAGAGGAAAACTGCAGGATATGTGATTGGGAATCAGCCAGCCAGCGTCTGTACCTGTTTTTCACCTCCCGTGTGCCGCAGCGGGCCTGTGAACCTGACCACGGACGGAATATCCTGTTATTCTTATTGTTTGCGGATTGATTTTCTTTGCACAGAAATGTCTGATCCGTGTGTGTTTGACCGTTTTGGTGATACTTTTATGCAAAACATCCACAGACGTTGCAGTTATCAGTCAGCAGAGATGCAGGTCAGCTGCAAACGAGACAGTGACCTAATAACATCCATCAGTTTGGCTGGGATCCGTTTAGGGTTAGAGTTAACATCCATTCTTTCTTAAGGAATTTTCATCCAATGCAATAATTACATAATTGCAAGCCCAAATGCATGGACGCTCACAGAAATGAAAACACAAATTTCTGCCCCTAAAAGTATAATCAACACACATCTGCACCCATTAAGCTAATTATTAGACTTCAAGATAACTATATACCTTTTTAAGGATCAAAAGGGTGCAGTACTGTTTAGTGGTTGGCCCCTCAATGGTTTCTTTTTCTATTTTTGAATGTCTCAGCTCACCAAATACATTTTAATATTAGACAAAAATAACATGGCTAAATGCAAAACGCAGTAGTTTATAGATGATGATTTTATTTATTAAGAAAAATAAGCTATCCAAACCTGCATAGCCTTGTGTGAAAACTAAATCTTATGGCTGGCTGTGCCAGCTTGGCAGAATCAAGCATTTGTGATAACTGGCAATGAGTTTTTCATATCACTGTGGAGAAATTTTGGCACTGTTGTTTTAATTCAGCCACATTGAAGGGTTGTTTGAGGTGGACTTGCTGGTCTGTTGCAAATCACTGTCATGCTGGATGACCCAACAGTGATGGAGTTTCAGGGCATGAAGTCATGGCCGGACATTCTCCTTCATCTTTTCTTGTTCCATCAATTACAACAAGTCTCGTTAGTCCAGAGAATAATTTTCCCCAAAGTCTTGGGGATCATTAATGGGTTTTTTTGTGAATGTGAAACAAGTCCTTGTGTTTTCTCAGTGCTTTTCTCCTTGGGCTCTCTCAATTTTTCCCAGTCTCTTTCTTATTGTTGATTCATGACCTCTGATCTTAACTGAGGAAAGTGAGACCTGCAGTTATTTCGATTTTCTTTTGGATTCTTTTGTGACCTCCTGGATGAGTCGTCACTGGACGCTGGAGGTTATTTTGGTATGCTGGCCACTCCTGGGAAGGTTCACCACTGTTCCAAATTCTCTCTATTTATCAATAATGGTCTTCACCGTGATTCACTGGAGTCCCAAAGCCTCAGAAATGACAATGTAACCATTTAAGACTCACACATGTCAATGATTTTTTTTCTCAGTTTCTTTAGATCGTGGCACAATGTGTTGCTTTTTGTCAACTTTTAGCCTACTTTACTTTGTTGGACAGGTTCTGTTTAAGTAAATTCTTGATGCGACAGGTTGGACAGTAATCAGGTCTGGGTGTGATGAATGAAATTTAACTCTTCTTTATGTCTTTTTTCTGTGTGTCTTACTTGGGTTATCTTTGTCTAATAATAAAATCAGATAATTTGAAACGTGCTAGTGTGACTGTTTCAGAACTAGGTGAAATATATAATTTACTCTTCCATTTTAAGATTTAAGGTTAAAGGTGTAGAATTGCAGAGGACTGTCACCTGTTCTCCCTGTTTCTGGGAGCCTTATGTGCACTTATTGACACCAGATGTGCAAAGGGTGTAAAGAAGTCTCCCCCGCACTCTGCACCTCAGAGGATAAAGCCTCAATGATAAACCTCTGTACCACTAAAAGTAAAAAGCAAAAAGGCACTTTTATTGTCTGAAAGTGTGTGGCAACATTTTCTATATCATGTAAGTGCTGCATACCTCATCTGACAATTTACATAATTATCTTGTTGTCCTTTTCAACCATAACCCCAGTGCTGCTTGCAAGGGTTTGCGACTCCTTTGTTTATTTTGGTCTAATTATGCGAAAGATTGAACAATGTTGCAGTTATTAATCAGCAGCTGCAATCAAAGCATGCAAAAACACTGTAAAGCAGATCAACTGACAGGGGGCTACACAAAGGACTGACTGGGGGATCAAGACACAATTAGGAAACACGAAGGAGGAAAGAAGTGGAAAGGAAGGAAGGAAAAGCCACAATAATACACATGAGATAACTGAAAAAAGCACAAGCTGGCTAAAAGAGAAATAACTCACAGTGGCAACATAATTTATTTGTTGCCACACAAACCAGAAACACAAACCCAGCAGATACGGACGACGCCAGTCAGGTTCACTGAGGAACACAGTTAGAAATGATAAAGGCCAGGCTTTTACTTTATTTACACATTTTAATTTAATCGGAAATTCCTCTTTTCTAAAGCTTTTCGCCTACGATTAAAAAATTATTAACGTTTCTGATATTTAACCTAACAAAATTAGTCAGATAGCAAACGACCAAAACACAATCCTGCATTTGACAGCTACTGGTAGTCTGTGGTGTTTACATGTGGAGGACTTAAACTTCAACATAATATTACCGTATTGTGTGTGTATAACCTCTTTTTAAGTTTTGTGGATATTATACATGGTTATGCTGAGGATATGTCGGCCAATTTCCACTGGAAATGCCTTTTGGTTAAACTGTCAGCAAGGAATTTGCATTTGCACTGTTAAATTTTTATATGACTTTAATGCACATAAAAAACAGCTGCTTGTTTAAGTGAAAATACATCGATGTTTTTTTTTTTTGCACTAATAAAGTTATGGAGTTGTAAAGTATTTTGTCTAGTGTCAATTATATCGTCAGTTATATCGTTATTGCAAATTTTCAAATGTATATCGTGATAAATATTTTTGGTCATATTGCCCTGCTCTACTGATCAGTTTTTAAAACGTTTCTTCTTATGTGTGCTTTCACTCAACAGCAAAGACCGCTGAAGCAATCTCTAAGCAAGTCCTTATGTCGGGAGAGTTTCTGGAAATGCTTCCTCCTTTCCGTTCTCATGTATGGCTGCATGGGAACCATGGTTTGGTGTCACATCACCAAGGTGACCCGCCTCACCTTCGACAGCGACTTCAAAGGGAAATCCATGATGTACCATGACAGCCCCTGTTCTGATGGCTACATCTACATTCCCTTGGCCCTACTGGGCATGCTCTATTTAGTTTACCTAGTCGAGTGCTGGCACTGTCACGTGAAGAATGAGCTGCAGCACAAAGTGGACGTGGAGGGCATCTCCGAGCGCATCCAGAGGATGCAGCAGGCTAAGCCCTGCATCTGGTGGAAGGCCATCAGCTATCACTATGTGCGCCGAACTCGACAAGTCACGCGCTACCGCAATGGAGACGCCTACACGAGCACTCAGGTTTACCATGAGCGTGTCAACACCCACGTGGCAGAAGCAGAATTTGACTACAGCCACTGTGGTGTCAAAGATGTTTCCAAACAGCTGCTTGGCTTGGAGAAGTCTGCGTTGACAAAGATGCGCTTCACTAAGTGCTTCAGTTTTGCCAACGTGGAGTCCGAGAATTCTTATCTCACACAAAGGGCGAGGTTTTTCACCGACAACGAGGGCCTGGATGACTACATGGAAGCCAGAGAGGGCATGCACCTGAAGAACATTGAACTGAAGGAGTATGTCTTGGTGCTCTGTGACCCGGAGCACCACCCTTGGTATCTGTCCCACTACGTCTTTTGGTTTGCCTCCTTCCTCACGTTTTCTTGGCCTCTCAGAGTCTTCACAGAGTATCGCACTGCATACGTCCACTATCGTGTTGAAAAGCTCTTCGGTCACGATTACCTCCCTGTTACCCCTTGTGACGATCGGCCTTATTGGCGCCGTATCCCTCGAGTTAACACCATTGACAGCACAGAATTGGAGTGGCACATTCGCTCCAACCAGCAGCTGGTTCCCAGTTACTCAGAGGCTGGCCTCATGGACCTGGCCCAGTGCCCCTCCAGCTTCAGTGGGCTTCGTCAGAACTGCGAGCGCTGCCACAGAGCCATTAGCTGCTCCTCAGTGTTCTCCAGAAGCGCCCTCAGCATCTGCACCGGTGCCAGCTCCCGCATCCCCTTCAGCAGCAGCCGCTTCTCCTTGGCCCGGCGCTATGGCTCCCAGCGCAGCTGCTTCTGGAGGAGCGGCAGCCTAGACGACCAGGTGAGCCCCAGTGAAAATACCCGCTGCCTATCGGAACGCCTCACCACAGATGACGAGGAGCCCCCGGACTACGAGGATGCACTTTGTTACCCGGTGCTCATTGTCCACTGCAGTGAGAACTGCCACAACCACAGATCTTTCCACAGAAATGGCTCCTGCGTGGAGACCTCTTTATGATATGCAGTCACAGCGGCATTTCTGTAGCATTTCAAAAACAGGGCGTAGTGGATGCTGTAAGAAACAATTGCCTGAATCCTGAATGTGTGAATCACCAAAGCAATAACAGCGGTCAGTGAGTGGAGAACAAAGTGGCATCTCATGATAAGCTCACACACACAAACAAATCATATCTGCTTGGCTTCCAGGAAAAACCAAGAAGACGCAGACTGTTACAAAGCACACCATCGCTACAGCTTTTACAGTGCATGTGAAACTAAGGCTGCAGATACCTCATAGGAACTTTCTCAGAGGTCACACATGGACAGGTTTAAACATCTCACGTTCATTTAGTGAGTCATTATGGAGCAGCTTCTACAAATTTAACTTCTAACTACAGCAATAACTGTGAAAATAAATCTCAAATGGAGGATTGCCAGTTTGTGCTGGTGCACATCCCAAAGTGGAAACCTCTGACTTCAAGTGACAATTTAAATCTTGGACATTCTCACTTACTGTTAAACCATATCTGTAAATTCTTTTTAAATCATCTGTTTTTTCCTACATTATCCAGAATGCCTTTTATTAACTCCAGACAACAGGTATAAGCTTAATTTCAGCAGACAGTGACCTAAGGATGTTAGAAAGCGTGAGGCATTTGTTCAGACTGAGAGAAGTTCAGACTCATGCCCTACTAACAGCCGGTCCTGTGGTTTCGTTGCATCCTGGTGCATCTCTGCTTCTTTTTCTTCTTCTTTAGTGGATTTCTTTGTAATTGACTGTTGGGCGTTGGTGCTATGTGGCAGCTCCAGACTGTTGTGGATGTTGAGTGACTGACACATTAACATGATGTTTACAGTTGGTGCTTTCCTTCTAACCTCGGATGTAAATGTTGGAATTAACAGTTTGGCCATCTTGAAGAAAATAAGAGAGAAAACAGAATCAGGTGGACTTTTTTTTTTTCCTTTAGTGGCTTTAACATGCGATTAATTTGTCTTGACTGACCCAGAAAATGAAAAAATGCGGGCGCACTAACACTGTCTAGTCCTATGAGCCTTTACCTTGACAGACTAAAACGCATCATGAAAACTCAATCAAGCATTACGCATAAAATTTGACTTTTCTGCTGCCTACTGCCATGATGAAACCTGCCGGCAACTGTGGTACAAATACACATCATTACATCCATCATTGGGACATAAAAGATAGAGACTGGTTTATCACAGTACATGTGAGCAGGTGAGTGTGGATTTAGCTGCAAAAAAAGATCATAAGATCATCAAATCCATGCCTGTTTTCGCATGATTTCCTCCTGCTGACACACTGTGGTAAAACCATATCCATGAATGTAAACCACCAGCATATACGATATACTCTGTACCATTATGTGTTGATAGTAAAGGAATAATTCTCCATTTTTCATCTGTAAAATGGTGATCTCGCTGTCCAGCATGTACTGATATGCCACCATGTTACTGAAAGACTTTGGATGTTGTCATGTGGAGGATATGTGACTCTTCTGAGTTTACAGTTAGTATATGCAAGGATGTAAATGTGCTTATGTTTACACATTATACAAACTTTATAATACATGCTTTTTTTTTAATATAAAAAATGTTGTATTCAATGTGCCACAATACAGCTTGTTTCCTATGGAGGACCAAAACAGCCAAAAATTTAAAATAAATTACTTTTTAAATAAATTCATATGCCATTAAATGCCTCTCAAATAGCACAAGTTACTTTAAGCATTAGTTGTGTTTTTTGTTTTTTTACCCAAACGACTGTATTGTTGTATTCTCTTTTCAAATTTCTTTCCACATTTCTGCTTTCTTTTGCAAATAAGTTGGCTATGAATTAAAATCAGTCATAAGGTGAACCTTTTACCTTTGTAAATAAATGTTTAAATAAGTCTTAGTCACTAAAGATTTAAAATAGGTCAGCTAAGCCCTCTTATATGTACAATGAAGCAGAAATGCATAAAAAAATGTAAAAACACAAAATGAATGTATTTGGGGGGAAATAAACATATTAATGCATAAATTATTTTAATAAAGAAAATGTAAAATTAACATAGGATCAAATAAAAAAAAAAAATCAAAAATATAAAAAAAATTTTTGTGGCATTTAGTGGCATATTTACTGATTTTTAAATTTATTTATAATTTTAATCCTGTCAGTTTTGGCCCTCCATATTCATACATTGTTTTCAATAATGTAGTGACATTCATATTATTATGCACTTGATGGAAGTGACACTATAGACATTATGAATTGTAGTGGAGCTGAATGTTGGTGTAAATTACCTTGTAGAAAAAAGTGTCATAAATGTCACTATAACCAAATGGGCTGAATAAATAACTTAATTACTTTTTAGAATATGTATTTCAACTTATCTTATGCTGGAAAAATAAAAGTTGCAATAAATGTCTGGGTCATACCCATGTACAGTTAAACAAAATGTTGCTTTCTTGTATCCTCAGATCCATTTAATCCTTTGCCTGCCCCCCCTCCTAGCTGTAGAGAGACAAAACTGTGAAAAATCAAGAAAAGAAATAAGGTTTTGTTTCAATAACTACCTTCAAATCCTTTTAAAAGCTCCAGAAATAACAAATAATGAAGCTATTAACTAATTCATAAAGTGTAACAAATTGCTACTTATGTTTATCCATCCTTGTGATAAAACCCCTGTTTATTTAAAGTTGCTTCAGTTTCAATTTTATTTAATAATGTGTGAATTGCTGGCAAAGCAGACTGGCTGATAACCAAAAGATGGGCAAATTGCCAAAATGCAAAAGTTGAATCTTCAAAAATCTGGTTAACTTTAGTGAGACTACATCCACCTTGTACATACAATCACTACTACACCTGTTCAACTGCTTGTTAATGCAAATATCCAATCAACCAACCACATGACAATACCTCAGTGCATTTAGGTATGAAGACATGAAAACGACCTGCTGAAGTTCACACTGAGCAACAAAATGGCGAAGAAAGCTGATTTCATTGATTTTTACAGTAATTAGTGCCGGACAGGCTGCTCTGAGTATTCCAGAAACTGCTTATCTTTCCGCACAGTCATCTCCTGGGTTACAGAGAATGGTCTGAAAAAGAGAAAACATGCAGGAAGAAAACGCTTTGTTGGTGCCAGAAGATGGAGGACAATGGCCAAACTGCTTCGAGTTGAGAGGATGGCAACAGTGACTCAAATAACCGCTCATTGCAATAAAGGTTTGTAGAAAAGTAACTCTAAATGAACAATACATCAAAACCGGATAGGCTACAGCACCATAAGACCACACTAGAAACTAAGACTAATTCACACAGAATCACCAGAACTGAACATCAAAGACGGGAAAACCTGCCTGCTCTGATGAGCCAACAACTGCAACATTATGACAATGCCTTCTATTTATAAGAGACATCTAAGTTGTTGTGGTAAATTACACATTACTGTTATATTTTAGGAGAAGCTGGAATGTCTTTTACTGTTATTATATCAAAAAAGCAACTGAGAGTGGCTTCAGGGTTGATTAAATGGAGCATAAATGTCTTCCAACATGCCCAAATTTGAGTTTTGCAAGCAGTGGTGCACAGTGTTTGGTGAGTAATCAAATCCTCATTGGCCGAATTTAGGACAGAGCTGTATGGTCTACTTTAAGAATGCCACATATCACAAAACGATGTCTATATTCTTTTTATTAAATGAATCAAACTTTAATATTTAATTAATTTCATGGTTACTCATCCCAGAGTTGTTTGCCTAAGTTTTTCATTTTTAAAATATAAATCTATAGATTCCTGAAAAAAAGGACACGTGATCTTTCCCAGATTGAACCATTTTGCGTTTAAATTCCTTCACTGCCATTTGCCTCGGCCATACATGTAATAATCCACCGGTGCCGTAGGAGGCAGTATATTTAAATCGGCGACCACACGTCTACTCCACGGCAGCGGAGACGACGAAGTACAGTAAGAAGCTATGAAAGGTTATTCCATAGGTGAGTGTCCTGCATCGTGTTAGGAAACTCGTAGTTAAGTTTTCATTCGATAAAAACTGTTTGTGCCACGTTTGATGGTCACGAAGCTCGGGCTGGGTCACGCTTAGGTTGAAGTAATGAGTCCACGAGCTCAGCGGAGAAAAGTAAAGCTAGCTAACGGCCCGTATCTGCGTCCGCTTGGCTTCAACTTTAACCTCAACATTGAGCGGAGACAGCAACCGGTAACAATTATGACATAAAAGTGTGTGAAAAGCAGGAGATGTATATAAAACGTGCCCGCTTTAGTGAGAACGTAACATATCCGAGGTCAGCAACGACCAAAGAACGTCCTTACTGAGTACTTCCGGAATAAACAAACGCATGTCGACTAAAATAGTAAAGCTTAACCATTGCTTTTAATCCGGTCAGTTAGTTCAAGAAGAAGCATTTGATCCTTTTCTTGTATTTATTAAACTAAAATAATTGAAATTAGTTTTTTTTTTTTTTTTTTAGCCGAGCCTGAAATAAATTGATGCTTTTATTCTGAAGATTACAGTAAATCCAGCTGATCTAAACTTATGTTCAGCAGTTTAAAAAAGTGTGTGTAAAATTATGGATCAGGTGAGGAGGCAGATGTTCTGCTGTGTGAAGATGATAACACAACATATGCAGCCTGTCAGCCTCCCTAAACTTGTCATTATTCTAACTGAATTTGCAAAGATGATCCAAAACACACAAAAAATAAAGATGAATTCAAAGTGGTTCTATTTTTGTTTTCTAAATTTAATAGATGTTGTGATATCACATGATCATGAAGTAAAAAGACAGAAATCGTGAGTCCTGTTCTTGAACCGTGGCTCTTTATATTGAATCCATATTAATTAATTAACTGAACCTTTTTGTTGTTGTTGTTTTGACAATCTCCTCCTTCCTTTCAGTGACTGGGTGGAGCACAAACATGCAGAGTTTAGTGGTGCAAGCTCTTGCCATGAGGCAGCTTGGAAGGTTGAGCCCTCGCCACCTGCTAGCTACTGGATATGGTCTGAGGCAGACCGAATGGTGTCCCAGGACCATTCATACACGCCAGCTGTGCGGCTACTCGGTCTTCCCTGTGACACCTGGCTGTCACCGGCCTGCTTTCCGTGGAAGAGACGCTCTCAGGTGTTGGTCTGCTCATCATTTGAGGTTTAAAAGCAACAAGAAGAAAGGTGCTTCAAGTGCATATGATGAGGAAGAGGAAGATGAGGATGATAAAGACGCAGAGGACAGTGATTATGAAGATTCGGACCCAAATCTACCCAAGGACTATAAAGACATTGAGAAATATGTTCAGTCCTTCCGCTACGATGTCATTATAAAAGCTGGCCTGGATATGGCACGCAAGTGAGTCAGCATAAGAATCTAAGGCTGGGTGGGTGTTGATAAGTGATTAAGTTGCTGCTAAAGATAAACAGGATTTTGCCCTCTTTCCTCCATACTTCATAATCAAAACAGGAAATAAGGAAATGGCGTGGAGAATCAGTGCCAGGGTGCTCTCAGTGTGCCACAAGCTGTTCTAGTGGCACACTGTGAGCTCATCAAGAAACTTTGTTTTTCCCTTTAACCACTGTAGCAGGTTCCCCATAGTATCCACAAAGAGGGAACGACTTTAGTTCTACACAGTTAAATTTGCTTCATCGATTGCCCAGCAATTGAGCATTACTGCCACTGTGCTTCACTCTTTGTCTTCCTCCTTCTCCAGTCTCACAACTACTATATAAGAAAAGAGAATAATTGGCAGCCACACGCCAGGTGTGCCTCTCTCCCCAAACTGGTCCCCCAATCTCAACCATCCAGCTCCACCTTTCCCTCGTGCATCTGAGGCACAGACCATACCTCGATGCCACAATCGCATAGAAAGAAGGCACACACACAAAACTGCAAACAGTAGGGACTTCACAACATTTGTCACCATTATACCAGAGTCTAACGTGCTTCTGTCTTGTCACAGTAAAATTGAAGATGCGTTCTACAACAACAAGCTCAGATTTAACGGACAGAAACTCATCAAGAAAAGTAAAACGGTGAGTGCTGCTTGCTTACGACAGTGCACGAATTAGGTAATCCAGTGTTCCTCATATTTTGTTCTTTTCTCAGGTAAAACTGGGGGACACCCTGGACCTGGTCCTGTCAGAGAACCCAGAAACAAACACTGTTACATTGATGAGAGTTATCCTCAGAAGGGTTTTTACTGACCCTGGTAACACTGAAAAGCACAAAGTTGCCATAAGGCGCTGGAAATGTCTTGAGCTTCCCAGGGAGGAGGCCTTTAAACCTTGAATCTGCCTAAGACCGTACTGACTGTAATGCCATTGGCCTGTGAGGTCAACAGCACTGAGTGGCTCTCCAATGAGGTGGATGTAGAATGGATTACAAAAATGTTGTGCAGAGCTCACAACTCTCACTGTGCTTAAATGTGTACTTCGCCCTTCTATAGTGTGACACTCCCCCAATAAAGGTGCACTGTGAGGGTTTAGACTTCACCATTTGTGTCCTGGTGGATTTTTTTTTTAATTCTTTTGGAAAGCTGTGTGGTGTTTTTCATGGTTTCAGAACTGAAACTGCCAACACTTAATATACAGGAATAAATAAATAACTTTAAATTTCTATTAAATATCCCCAAATATTAATAAGGAAATGTTATTGTATATAATATACAATAGATATTTTTTTTTTTATAAGCATGAGTAAGAAATATCCGGCTTTAATCCTGTTGGCTGGAAAAAAGCACTTTATATGATTCTTAAAACAGGACCCCTTATTTGTACTTTTGGAGCTCTAATTTATTCTCTCTAACCTGAAAAAATGAGAACTAAAACTGTCTCATGCACATCTCAACATTAATTTAATGGAATAAAAGTGCAATTCATCTGATTCTCTTATGTTAATGATGGAACTAAGAGCTGGATGCCTGTGGCTCAGGAGATGGAGCACCACCTGTCGCCCACCAGTCAGAAGGTTGGTGGGCGATAAGTGGGCTGCAAATCAGTGTCCTGGGGCAATGTTGTGAACCCTAAATTGTCCCTGGTGCATCTGCATGTGATAGCACTTAAAGGTATAGAATAAAGCACTGTGTGAATGTGGCTTGCAGTAGAAAGTGCTTTTGAGTGCTAAGAGCAGAAATGCTCCATGTACCACCGTGTAGCCTGCTCAGTCCAAGACACTCAAGTCTATTAACTTATAAAGTTGACATTTTGCTATTGTTTTAATACAGCAAGTCTTTCTGACCAAAGCACTTAAAGTGCACACATTTAATAGCGCTCTCTCTCTCTCACACACACACACTGCTAATTTGTCTGCAGAACTTGTGTTGCTTTCAACCTTAAATCACATTTTTATCTATAAAAATCAGTCATCTGCTAACAGACTTAAACATGTCTCCAATGTCATGTGATTGGGTTGATTTTTCAAGTTGATAATCACCTTCAAGGGACCTCTTAGCCTAACGGGTAAGTGAAACCAGATAAAGAAAGGCTATGCTCTGTATGTTGAACTTGCTCTGGTGCGATTATGTAAAACATTGTGATTGTATGTCACATTTATAACTGTGGTTTTATTAGAAACTGGTTATCATGAGCCATTGTCATGTTAAATTATCTTTATAATATAAACTTCTATAAGAAGGCTTAACATAAGCACATAGTTATTAAAACAGTGGTGGCACGATGCTACATCAGTAACTGCGATGGAAATATATCACGTCCTTGTGATTTGATTTCTGTTCATAGAGCAAATGTGTGATCTATGCTGTTAGCTACTATCATTATTATTGTTATAAGGCTACAACATTTATCAACAGAGTATGTTAGAGAAGCTATGACATGTTTGGCTTATAAATAGGAGCGGTTGTAACTTTTATCGAACAATAATAAAGACTACATAAACTAGAACATCTACTGCTGTAGCCAAAAAGGTAAAATATGAGTAAGAATACTACTAAAGAAACTCGCAACAGCTTGGCTTCTTCCTACAGAGGACAGTGTGTAGAAGTTCAACAATGCGATTTCAGCTTATATACTGTGCAACTGTTTTTATGACAGAAAGTGTTGGGTAACTGCAGAGTACTGTAACTAGGACACAGTGCTTGACCTCTTGGCCTTTTTAAGAATGTCACACTTCTTGCGATTGGGGCGCCGGCAGCGTTCGTCAATGCTTGGCACACATTCGTAGTGCCACACCTCCTCCATCTTATCCACAGGATACACGGCTTCCACGTAGTGACGGATCAGTCTCAGTCGAACAGGGTCAAGCTGCTTCTTATTGCAGGCACCTGAATGGTTGTACTGCAGCCGCAGGTTCTCGTGGGTGAAGAGCTCGGGGAAGAGGCGCACCAGCAAGCGGGCAGCAAAGTTCCCAACAGAGAGACTCTGCTGGACAATTTCCCGTACCTCGGTATCAGAGAGTAGGTAGACGGAGGGAACAGGGAAATCTGGTTTGGACACAGTCAGCTCATCAAGGGGGATTTTGCAGAAGTCTTTGCTACTTTTCTCGGGAGGTAAAGAGGGAATATCTGGATCCTGTCTGCCGTTATCGGGATGGAGCTGGTTCAGCTGGCAGAGAAAGTCCTGCTCTGTCTCCTGACCGTACACTTTGCGCTGCTGCAGGTAGGATCTCCTCTGCTCCGTGTCACGTCTCCTGCACCGCTCGTCAAGTTTGCCAACAAATTCCAACATCCACACTCTGTCGTTCTTGGCCCGGGGGTAGACCAACTGCACGTAATGACGGATCAGGTTTACGCGAACGGGGTCGAGTTGCTTTTTCCCAAGAGAACCGCTACAGTTATACTGCTTTCTAGCGTTCTCGTAGGTAAAGAGCTCAGGAAACATGAGCACCAGCAGCCGAGAGGCAAAGTTCCCAACGGACAAGCTACATTCATAGTTGCTCTTGAGCTGTTCCCTGGACAGGATGTATTCCTGGGGAACAGTAAAGTCAGGCAGAGGAATCTCCAGATTGTCAAAATCTACAGGCGTGAGCAGCGACTTTTTAGACTTGCGACTGGGTCTTTCATATTCACTCACTTCTGGAACCTTGATAATTGAAACATCTTCAGGAAAACTGGCCAGTTCGTAGCCCTCCTCATTGATGTTGTCCGGTTCACTCCCGTTGCCATTACTGTGAGGACCCTCAAGTGCGTCTTCCATATGCTGAATGCACACCTGCAGCCAGCTGTCCTCAGGCACATCAGGGAAATTCGCTTCCATATACTTTCTAATTATGTCCATCTTGTCAGAGTCGAGAATTAGCTGTCCCACACTACTAAAATTGCCACAGTCTTCTGGTATTTTCCCCTCTTCAAAAACTTCAGGGAAGAGACGGTGAATTAGGAAAACAACAAAGTCTTCTGGGGAGGAGAACTCATCCAACTCCTCTGTGGCTTGTGTACCAAACCCGACATCTGAACCAGCCAGGCTGCCCTGTTGGTGATCTAGAGATATGTGCTCCTCCTGACCCTGTTCATTAATGAAACGAAAGGTTTGAGGCTGCTCAGCTTTTACGCCACCAGCTGTGCCCGCCTGCTTCCTGAGCAGCCGGGCACTTTCCATGTCCCTCTGCGCCCAGAAGCGATTAAAAAAGTCATTAATCTGGAGGAGGCACTCTTCCTGCCACACGCTGTTGTTTTTAACCGTGGGGTAGCACACCTCGACATAGTTTCGAATAAGCTGCAGATGTAGAGACTCCAGCGTTCTCTTGCTCGCCATGCAGTCGTGAGAGCACTCCCTTGCTTTGAACAGCTCCGGGAACAGATGCACAAGCAGTCGACAGCCCAGTTCCCCAGCACTTGACGTCTGCTCCATCAGCTGATTCAATTCATCACTGGTTAGCAAATACTCGGGGGGAGGCTGGAACTCTGTCACCATCTCAGCCGGTTTGATCTGCTTCTTTATCCTCATGACTTCCAGCGTCAGCAAGTCCACTTTACTGTGCAGCTGCGTCATGCTTGAATTCAGAGTGTTGAGAATGAAAAACATTTTCTCAATCAGTGGATAAAGGCTGGGGTCCGCTGTGGAAGCTTGGCCTAAAGTGTCTGTGGAGGGGATGGGCTCTGCTGGGCCATTTTGCTCTGGATTTTGGAGCTTGGATGAGAGCATATTGTTGAGCTGATTCAAGCTGCCAAGACTTGCCTGCTGCTCCAGATTCGGGGTGGTCCTCTTCTCCGAGATTCGGTGGGAGATGCTGAAGAGAGGCTTTCTGTAGGAGACTCTAGATTTCTCCTGGATGCAGTCTCTCTTCTCTCCGGTTGTGGTGAGGCAAAGAGGTTCAATCCTGCTGCTCTCGTCTATCAAGTGCCGCCTCATCTAGACACAATAAATGTCAGTCAAGGATGTGTAATAACATATAAGGTATTGTTTTAATCATGAGTTGATCTTCATTTACCTCACTAGACACCCTGACTCTCTTGCTGCTAGTGGACTGGTCTGTTTCAGGTCCCATCTCTGCAGATGACCGTTTCCCAGCCTCGGCAGCTCCAGAAGATCCCCCTCCATGTACCTGAGGTTGTTCACTAATAGCAATGTCCTCTGTCTCCTCCTTACAATCTTGGACATGCTTGTGTTCTGCAAAATAATGCAGAATTTATTTTACTGCATACACTACAAAAATAAACCAAAACATACTTTGTTAATCTGTGAATTTTTATTGCTGTAGCTGCAAAGACAACAATGCAGAACTTGCCTTTTTCAAGCATTGCTTCATCTGAGATTTCCCCATGCTCACGGGAATTCATAGCCTAGATAAAAAATTCAGAAAGTTACTTAATATGCACACACTTAATACATCAATGGGAACAATGTGACAGTAATGTGTGTAATACACATATTCTTAGGTTTGGATAAATTACACGGAAAGGTTATTAACGCTAAAATTAGCTAATGTACCTGTCCAACTGTTGTTCATATCTTCTCTTTACAATTAGCAACCAATCAGATAAAAGTGTACTAAAAGAGACAGGAAGATCTAAGGACAATTGTAGCTTTGCAGATGAGTAAATTGCACTGTACGATTGTTTAAACAATTTACTCATATGGGTTATCACTTTGCAAAGTCTGGAAGAAGGCCCAAACTGTCATCCACAGATGAGAGAAAATTGGTCTGGATGTTCAGGAACAACCCGGAAAACACTGATGCTTAAGCCTGCCATGAACTGCAAACACTAGCAACACTATCTACAGTGAAGCCACACGGACTGAGAGGGTGCTGAACAAGAAAGAAGCCCCTCCTCCAAAAACAGACACCTTCAAGCTTGACTGTAACTTGCAGCTGCCCAAAATATCTTCTGGAGAAAAAGTTTAATGATCCGACGAGACAAAGATTGAGCTATTTGGTCACAATGATAAGAGGTATGTTTGCAGGAGTAAAGGTGAGGCTTTCAAACCTAAGAGCACTGAACTAAATGTCAATTGGTGGTGATAGCATCATGCTGTGGGGCTGTTGTCCTGCCAGTGATACAGGTATTTCATTGAATTACAAAGTGGATGGAATAATGAAAGAGGAGGACCATCTTCCAAATTCTTCAACTTCACATTTGTGTAATGAAAATCTTTGGATTGTGCTTCAAAGCTCGGTCCATGCCAGGAAACCAGTCTAAATGACCTCTACCGATCCCGCCAAAAAGACCAGTCAAATATGCAAAACCAGAACAAAACTATGCCAGACGCATATTAGTAGTGGTGATTTTATATATTAGAGTCTGTATATGTATACTTTTTTGTTTTGTGGGATACCATTCAAATAAATTCGAAGAGTTCAAAGAAATACTTGAAAGCCCAAAATTATCACGACATTCATGCCCATGACTGGCTCTAAACTAAAGAGCAAAACCACTAAACCACTGGCTCTGTCATTAATCTGCCCATTGCAGATCTTCAGTATGTTTTGTTAAATTTAAGAAAGCACCAGAAATGCTTTTGATGCACCTAAGCCATTTACAAGCTCCCTGAAAAGTTATCATCACAAAATTGTTTTAAATACTTCAAACTCTATCTGGATGGTAAAATCCTTTAAGCTCCCTGTGGAGAAAATTAAAACAGAGGTGGTCCACGTTGGAAGAGAGCAATATTAAATGTAGTCTACTACAATGGACACTTGGTTACCTCTGCGGTTTTCTTACATGTAAACACAATGCTCTATAACTGGAGTAATTAACTATCTGTAACCGTTCTTGCACATGCTTCTTTTTTAAAAATAAAAGATTTAATGATGATTTTTTTTTGAGCTGTGAATCATGCAAAGCTATGCTAGTGGAGTCAAAGACTACAAACATGACGCCTAAAATGAGCTTGATGATTACTACTTTGATAACTGCTTTATAAACTACTGCTTTTAGTTAAAATACATACATGTTGTGGCTGGCGTATCACCCTTATAGCAAACACCATGTGACCGGTTGCAGCCTCGTAGCTAATCACACACACACACACCTCTGGGTTTGCCTGAGTATTTTATCCCAGGCTCGTGAGGCTGATATAAACGCGTAGTTAATGCCCGCACAGCTCTGACCCCCCTGTTACCTAAAGTCAGCCCGTTTTAGGTGCATGCCTCCATACAGAGTTCCCTCCCAGCTCCCCTCCAGCGTTCATAACCCGCTACTTCCTCATTCTTCCGCCCATGAACCCTTGAACCACAACACGAGCCGAAGCCGCCGTGTGGGCCGAACTCTTCTACAAACTTGGTGTTTTTCAGAAACACTGCGCGTCTTTACGCTTCGTTTCTATAACACCGCCACATTTTGTTTGTGAATTTTAATGACGCGGCAACGTTTGCGTGGACGACCGCCTGCCTTACTGCCCCCACCTTCCCTCCTACCCCCGTCCTATTCCTCCTCCTGTGTCCCGACTCTCGCTAAATTAACCGAAAACCCGCGTGACCAGCGGTTTGAGCTCACCTTCACTAGTCCATGCCTCCCCCCGGGACCGTCAGTGACATGTCCGCGGACTATCACGGCAGTTTGTTCCGCAGGTAATAAAAGAAGGTAATTCTTCTTGTTGGTGTTTTTTTTTCTCGCTCGGCTCCTGTGCTTTCTCGCGTGACGTGACGGGCGCGCGCCTGCTGTGTCACTTCCGCACAGCTGTGGAAGAAGAGACGGGTGAAAAAAAAAGAAAAAGGACCACAGTTACAGTTTTACATTGTAAATGCACAGGGCTGCCGTTACACTCTTTGACTTGTATTTAACTGAGAGTCCTCCAGCTAAAGAAGGGTTTGAATAAATAACCGAATAATAAAAAAATAATCCTCAACATGCTGAGCAGCTGTTAGCCCACGCGAAGGACACAATCACGAAACGTTATAAAACATATCCCATGAATTAACACACACACACACACACACACACACACACACACACACACACACACTGGACACTTTTATTCAACTGCTCTGAACTCATATTAGTTATAATAGTTTATAATATAATATTAGTTTTGCATTTTCTAATTAGTTTTTATTTTTCATTCATTTTAATTTTTTGTTTTTACTTCAGTATAGTTTCAGTTTTGTTTCAGTTTTATTATTATTTTTTATTATTATTACTGTACGGAGGACATATGGCAGAGGGAAGATTTAGGAAAATGAGTACATGCTTACAATAAAAACACAAGTTTTTAAAGGCAGTTGTCTTGTGGAAGAAATATGCTCATTTTGCAAAATTGTTTTTGCATCTAACTTAACTTTTTAATTTAGTTTTAGTTAATTATAATAACCTTGCTAACCAGCTAATCACATAGCAGGAACTGAGTGCATTTAGACATGTAAACATGCTCAAAATGACCTATTGGAGTTCAAGCAGAGCTTGAATATGACATGGACTAGTCTGAATACTGGGATCTTCATACACAAGTATCTCCAGGGTTTCAGGAGAATGGTCTGAAAAAAGAGAAAATTGGTGTATGAAAACAAGGGATCCATCCTGACTTATTTCAAAGGCCCAGGCTGTAAGCACATACAAGAGTAGAAATACAATTACAGAGTAGAAATAGAATCTATACAATAAATACATTAAGTCATATCAAAAAAGCCACACATACAGCAAAGTACAAGGCCGAGGCTGTAGTACAATGAAGCATGAGAAAAAAGCTGCAGATTATTAATGACAGCAGTACTGATTCTTCTTTTAAAGGGATTCAGTTTAATTAAGTAAGAAATACTACAAGTTGAGCTCCTATAGAAAGCTCTTGAGTTTTCTATTTCTCAAGAGGACAATGATCACCGAGAGAGACTAATTATATAAGCACTTATAAATACATTTAAGATGAGCAAATGTAATAAAATTATAGAACCTGGCACATGTAAATTCTGAAGTGCATGGAAACAATGTGTTTCATCAGCTTCCTCTCCAGAATGTTGATTGCATGATTGTATATCATCATAAGAGGCTTGATTGTTGTAGATGCAGCTTGTGACCGAGAGGTTAGACAATAACTTAAAATGTTTAAAAAAATAAAATAAATCACAGCATGCACACAACCCTTTCTTTTATTTAAAAAAATACTTGTGAAGGCATGATTTGAAATATCCAGTTTGTAATAGCAAAGAATCCTTCAAATAGATCCTGCATCCAGAGCTGGATCAATTTATTATACAAATCTTTTCATCCAGACCAAAAAAAAAAACAAAAAAAAAAACAAGACCGAAAGAGTAAATGAGGGGCTATTGTCAGCACCACTTTGGCCACTAACAGCATTATTTGTCTGTTTCATCTTAACATAGGCTGCTTGCTCTCAGGAACCCTTCTGTTAAAGTAGTTTATTTTACTTACTGAGATTTTTTTTTTTGATTTTTTGTGTATTTTACACTTTTGCCAAACAGCAATTTTTAATGCAGGACTTTTTTGAGTAATGTTTTTTTTAAAGCCGACTGTTTCTCCTCATTAGAACAAATTATCAGCACGGCATCTCTGTGTCACTGTTAAATAACATGTGAGCACATTCTGTGATAAAGGCTGCAGCTAGCAAGAGAAGTCATGTTGTATTGAACTGTATGTTGTGGTGTCTCTTCAGTATTTTTATATTCTGTTCATAGATACATTTATTGTTCTATTCTATATTGTTCTATAGGTCAATACAAGATTTACTATTTTCATCTATCTATCTATCTATCTATCTATCTATCTATCTATCTATCTATCTATCTATCTATCTATCTATCTATCTATCTATCTATCTATCTATCTATCCTAATGTAGCTAATCCTATATTATACTAGGGAGGGATGGTTATAGGCCTAATACTTCCTGTGTATTTGCAGTTCCTTAAGTAGCTGCCATATTGTTTTGCTAGCTATCAAAATTACTTTATGTTTAGTTCTAAAAACCTTGCCACCCATGCAGGCAGGATCTCTGTGAAAATAAAACTACAGAGCCAACATCATGTGGACAAGATCGCCCTCAAGTGGAAAAAAGCAGCAAAACCACGTGAATCCGCTCTGTGTGTAAAACAGGGGGACAACGTCATTGTTTAACTTAACATTACATTGTGTCGATGATACGGCTGCTTTCTCCTCCAAATATACTGATTTGTCTTGATTAGTCCTCCAACTTTCTTTTAAACGATTGCTGACTGTCATCTTGTGTACTCATAAATACTCTGTTTAATACCCGTTGACCTCTGAGGGCTGCCATCATTCTGCATGTGATATGCACTGTGGCTTAACAATGTATGCTGGGTACACTTATGATGTCATGGAGTATACATAATATTAAAGAAATAGTGCATTATGCTGTTATTGGTTGTAATTTCCAGACAGAAAATGAGAAAAGCAATATCAATCTCTATGGCTTCTAAAAGAGCAGCTGGTTACAAGAAACAACTAAAACCAAAGGGCCAGCCTACAATTTTCCACCACATGAAGTATAAATGTCCTCAGACAGAGAGTGAAAATGTAAGAAATGTGAAAGGTGAGGAGTATCAGATGCTCTCATGCCAGACAGAAAACCATCCCTCCCTAAAAGTGAACCACCTGTTAGATTGATGTAGGAAGCAACAATGTGCTCAGCGGTCTTTAAGCGTTCAGTGTTCTCTAAGTAAGATGATGAAGCTGCTCAGACCTATCAGATGCAGTCGTAGATGTGTGGCCAGCAGATCTGCACAGCGTGTAATTATGCACCATGTTTACGCGTGTGAACAGGAAATGTATTTGGACAAAAAGTGGAGTAGCACTACATGATTATAGTGGATGCTGAAACTACCGTTAGAGGAATATATTTACCCATGAAACGATAATTCGATCCACATGCTGAGCTCTTCACAACAAAGTCTCTGCTTCTCAGTTGGCACAGAGAAGAAGTCACGCCAACAAGTTTGCCCCACTTTTTGCCTCTGTGATCAGCTTCATTCTGAGCCACTGTTTGAAAAATGTCCCATGGATTTTGTTTTTTCCCCCCTTGGTTTTGTTTCACTCAGATTCAAGCTGAAAATGGTGGAAATGCTCCCAGCCCATTGTATATAGAGTATTATCTTACTTTTTTCATTGATTGTACTTAATTGTATTTTTGTATTTCCTTCATATATCTGTACCTGAGCTGAGGTGACGCAAAATTTCCCCGTTGTGGGATCAATAAAGTCTTATCTCTTATCTTATCTTAAAAAGCTTGAGTGGGTGCGTCATTGCATTCATTTAGCATCACTATCCAGACTGAATTCAGTCATAACCAGAAACTCTTTTTGCACACAAGAGAAAGGGCAAATTTTATAAAAAACAAAAGCAATTCAATTCAGTTCAGTTTACATAATGCCAAATCACAAAAGTTGCCTCAAAGTACTTTTTATTGTAAGGTAAAGACCCTACAACAATACTGAGAAAACCCCAACAGTCAAATGATTCCCTCTGAGCAAGCACTTGGTGACAATGGGAAGGAAAAACTCCCTTTTAACAGAAAAGAACCTCGGAGAAAGAAGAAACCAGGAACAGGGAGGCGGCAGTTATCTGCAGTTGAAAGTCGGGTGGTTATGTTACGGTTAGAGATCGCTAGGTCTACTGTAGAGCTAACACAGTGACAGACAGCCATTCACATTTACACCTATAACCAATTTAGGGTCACCACTTAACCCACTGTGCGTGTCTTTAGATTGTTGGCGGGAGACTGATAAACCCAGCCGAACTACACTGTAGAGATGGCCTACTTGAAAAGAGAACTGATGTATGAGAACAAAATGCTGTGGTATCTAAAATACCGTTTTGCCTCATTCACTCTGTCGACCAATGAAATTCCAACAACAGTTTGTCCATCAGTAATAACAGAATCAAATGAAGGCCTGGGTTTAAGATTGCAAGGTCAAAACTGCAGAGAAATATTTGTAACACACAGCTGGTGGCAGCAGAAAGAAACTGTGGGAAATGATTAATAAGAGAGGGAAGACAAATGGAGGTATGCCATATTGTTGCAATCAGGAGAAGATTTTGATTTGTAACGGGCAGAAGCTGTTAAGCAGCACTGGCTTCCTCAGAAGTCACTCAGAGATGAACAGAAGACCTCACATAATTCTATCTTAATCATCGGCTCTTTCATGCACACAGTGGCACACAATGTTCTGTCCTCAGCCACAAATATGTCGATACCGAGATGATATAACAAGACAACGTGTGGCTGGTGTGGTTCTCATTATTCGACTAATGAGCTGTCTCCTTGGCAGTCTGATCTGTCAGCCAATGAAGCGAGTAGGCCCTGTGCAGGGGGAAGAGCACAGCCCAGGGTCAGCCAGGCGGTGGCTTGCGACGAGGGGCCGGCGTGCGGCACTTAACACGGGGAAGAGCTCGTTAAAGTGTCATTTTTGGTCAATATGCTCGTCTGTGTGGAAGAGGCCAATCAGCCATACTGTTCCCATCTCAGGAGAATGACTTTCATCCATCACTGTCAGCTATATGATGATATTAGCAGGTGTTTACTGATAGCCCATTCAGAGGAAGACAAATGGAGATTCTAACATCCTTCCACGCTTACATTCACTCAGTCATTTTACATTCAGGCTCACTCGTAATAGGGTCACATAGAATCAATCCTGGTGTGGATAAAGAAGGGAGGCAGGGAAATATTAGGTCACAA